ACCGTTTCGGAGGAGTATGGTAACTAACATTGTGACACGAGAATTTTATAGATAAGATTGATGTAGTGAGCTATTAGCTCAGTAAAAAATTGCATGGTAGCTTCAATAATGAGAATAACAAGCCAAATATACCGGTTTCGCTAATCCGCTAATAGCATCTTTACATTTTGGTTGTGACAAGTAGAAGTCATTTTTAACCGACTTCAAAAAAGGAAGAGGTTCTATGTTCCACTGTATGTATTTTTTTCTTTTTGACATGTTTCTTGTTTAACTGGGTTTTAGGTGTCAAGAATACGCCTATACGTGTTGCAATCAAAAAGGTTTGAGAAACTAAAAAAACAACTTTATGGATAAAATATTTTTATTAAATCTATAGGATCACGCGTGTAGCTAACTGAGCGGTAACTTATTTAAGGCGTTCAATAAAAGTAAAAGTCAAAGAAATGCCGATATATTTAACACTACATAGATATTACACAGTATTATATTATATTTAATAACAACATTACTAAAACAATAATTAAATTAATAAAAAGAAAACACAGATATAATTGACAAACAAATTGAAATATTTAAACATGAAATAAGTAGGGTCCGCTACTTCCACCAACCTCTATACAAAGTTTCACGAGTTTAAACCAGTTTTCGAAACACTTACCAGTCCACCACTGACACTTCTTCTACGGTCTTCTCTAACGCTGTTAGCGCATCTTCCGGCGACGAAAACTGTATTCTTCTTGGCTTGTTGCTCATTCCAATGAAAACTTCAGGCTGGCATTTCGTGGTATACTATTCGGCGTCAATACTGCGGTACAGAATCGGACCGACTAAAAAAAGTTGTACCGTAACATATGAGTTTATTGCAAGGAACTCGTCTTTTACCTCCTCTTACCTTTGGCCGTCATAGATAGCCACGCAATTGACTGAGGGCCTTGATCACCTTCCGGGTTAGAGAGGCGAGCGTGTTATATGTCGCTCCACCGTCTCATGCCGTTATCCGCCGGGCACGCCGTTATCTCGGCGGTAAGACCCGATGGATGGAGGATTGGCTCGAGAGGCATCACGGGACCCTCTCATACCGGCTGACGCAGGTGATTACTGGGAAAGGCTTATACGCGCAGGCTTGGGGGTGGCAGTTGAGGCCATCTGTCGGCGGTGGCGGCAAGACGCGTTGCGGAGCGCGCGCGCCCTTTCGGGAGCAGCAAGGAACATGGGGGGGGGGGGGGTCATCTAACTGCCGTAGATAGTCTGAGGTCTGAGATCATTATATGCCCTCCGGCGCCTGGTACCCCTTCTTTGAAACGGGAAAATACTGCCAGTCCTTCGTTTCTTTCCGACCACTTATTCAGCTTAAATGACTCACCATATCGAGAGCTTTGGCAAGAAATTTCCTAATAGCCGCGACTTACATCTGGAACAGTCGTATGACAATACAACCGCACGTTATCAGCAAACTTACCATTTTTATCGGCAGTTGACACCTATGGTATTTATGACATTTGTATTTCTTTAGTTAAACTTAGCTTTGTTTTAAATGTCATACTAAGATTAAGTGACAGTTTGCCATTTATCATCATCGACATCATTATCATCATTAATCCAAAACGACAAATGTATAAGACTATTGCCTTCACAGATTGCGTATTAGTTTAAGCGGTTAGTTGCTACGCTGAGTGTTGTGGGTTCGATCACCAATAGGACAACACTTCGTGTGATCCACAAATTGTTGTTTGAAGTTAGAGTATTCTTTGTGTCCATTTCATGTATGTCTGTTAAGTCCCCCGCTACACAGGATATATTCCCAGTGCGAAAGTTGTCTTGTAAAGTAATAAATAAATAGAACAAACAAGAAATGATACCATTGCAGTTTGGATGACCTATATGATTATCCATAATGTGGATAACTGGGATGCGTATTTTTTGTATATTTAGACATAAATATACATGTGTCAGTGATGAAAATAGATGATTGATTCAAAGATAATGAAAATAGTTCAGATAATTGTTTTTAGGCTATCTTAGGATGCAAGTAGGTACTACTAGCTGCTTGAGATTCTGTTGGCTATTATGCAGTCCTGGTATCTAGCTTAAACGTTTTAGGGATATAGAAATAAGACAAAAATCTGCAAAATAATTGGGAATATCGTAAGAAATTAAAAGTAATTTTCTTTACGGAATACTCACAAACATTCTTCGCTTTATACTCAATCGTGCCGCTATTACTTCATACATTTAGATTGAATTTGATTATGTTGTACGTATTGTATCTTAAATTAAGACTTGTGAGAACTATCATAATAGAAAAAAGAAGAGAAATCCAAGATTGTCGCGGGAATAAATAGGATAGGTTATATTAATCATCCTAGCCAAGTTATGCGCATTTGCACATAAAATACACTGTTTATCAGGTTCATCTGTTAATAATTGTAATTTATCGCATATGTCGCACCTTTATTCATAAACTGAATTAACTTAGAATTTCAATATTGTGGTAAATCGCATTTAAAGTTTGACATTCATGTACGTGCGAGTTCGTCAAAAAGAGAACGACGATCTCTTATCTCTGCCATTTTCATGGTATCGAGTCGGCTGTTGGATTGTTCGTGTTCTACTGATGAAGTTGATTTGGTATATGTTGAAAACTCGAAAAACGTAAATTTTGAATTAATTCAGTTTATTATTAAAGGTGCGATGTCATCTGAACTCTATAACTCAAAGGGACAGAGCTATTATTGTTCAGTGTCATGGAAAATATGCAGCTTCCTATACTACATGTTTACAAATTTTTCGCGAAAATGTCTTTCTGCTATTACTATGTCTGTACGATTAACTGACAGTACCAACTGACAGCTTATCAAGTGACAATAAACCTTTTAATTTATAGCTTTTTAAATGACAAAAATATAATTTTAGATTTTACGAAAACACAGATCACCTTTTCAATTTTTCTATTTGTATTAAGACATGCCTGACAGACTGAAATTAAATACTATTAGAAGCGACTAGTTGACTAAGAACCTTGAAAGACCTTCACAACCTGTACATTTCCTCAAATTTGTTTGAGTCTACCACAATGGGTAATATTGCGAAAGATTTTACCTGGTTTCTGTTATGGCCGACCGCTGCCTGAAGCCAGGTCTGCGTCCTTGGGAATGAAATTGTTTTCAAACAGGATAAAGTAAGAAGATAAAATTAGCTGTCACAGCTAAGGTACGGGATACCACAAGTCTTTGACCGGAAAGTGAGATGAATCCAGTAGCTTTAAGACACCCAATTACCTGGCTTGTGTTTTGATACCTGACAGGGACTTCAACTTGACTCTTTAAAGTCTTTTTAAATAGGAAAACCTATGCCGACTTCCACATACGGTAAAACGGAGAAACATAATACAGCGCCACCTGACAAAGACACACCGAACTGCGGAGTAACTGCTAATCCTGTGTCGCGATATGAATAATTCTTTCGCCGATTAGCATACAACTTCTCAACATTTACCGTTGGGCTGCGGCACCAGCCAGTTAAAGGGATATGACGTCCGTTCCTTCACAAACTGTTTTGGTCTATTTTCTGACCGATACAGCTGATTACGTCTGAGTTATCGGCATCATTAGATATGCGATAAAAATCATTTCTATTTACAATTTAACCACTTAAAATCTTTTTAAGATAAATTGAAGCTTAACAGATGTAGTACTAAGTCTTAATGGGTAACTCCTGAGATTTTAAATGCTCTTCGTTTATCAATATTCCGACTTGGAAATGCCGATTTGTCTGGACTGCATTGGACGATATAATGGACCCGGGTTGGCATATGCACATCTGTGGCAATAATCCAAGATAGTCCGTATCTACAGACCTTGGATATCGCCTAGTACTGTGGTTGTAGAGGTCTGATGGCAGTCGCTCTCCGTATAATATCGAAGTTCAGTCGTATCATAGTAGACCTAAAGCTGACCCCATCCTAGTTTGGAAAAAAGGAGTTTCTCGGAGGAAGAAACTTAAACCATAAATGTGGCGTAATATAAGTCTTTTCTTGCCGAAAATCTTGGAAAAACGTGTGACCAGATCTAAAAATCGAACATTAGCTCCTTGTCATACACGCATTAACAAGTTAGCCTTTCGACTATGATGATGCTTTAGATAATCCTTTAGATATGGTATAATAAATTCATTATCTAACGGACGTGGCGGGGTCAGCTATTAATACAGTTAATACAATACGACCTAAGATATGTGTATAGAGGCCCTGTTTTAATGGTTTCTGTATTTGTAAGGACATACTGTACGCGACTCTTGGAGCCCAGGCCTCTCAGAGCTATTTTAGTCTCAGTTCTATTTCGCAATTAGAGAGTTGTGGTATTCCCTACCTTCATACTTCTTTAAATTTGTCCAATCCTTATTTAAATTCTTGCTGTTTTTCCATCTCAATTCCCAAGGCAAATGGGCCAAAATCGAACACTGAACAAATAAAGCTTTCCAATTTCTTCTCCAGTTGGCTCTTCGACTATTGAAGGTTGACAGTCGGCTCTCTATATTAGTTTTTGTCTTTTAGCGAGGTGAAAGAGATTAGCAGCGCTCGCAATCCCAGTTCATTCTCGGATGTTGCATAGCCACTACTCAAAACTATCCGTAGATATCTAATCTTATTTTTTATAAATTGTATTATAAATTTTATAAATATAGGTTTTCAGATTCCAATATTTACTATGCCTATCGTGAGACTCGTACGGAAATGCTAGGACCTGTCCTGGTCAGAACAGGAGGGGTGTCTTTGCCATTTGAAAAATAGCAGATATGTTATTGCATGTATTCTAAGACAACTTATTTTACAAATAATACATTAATTTTAATACCACATAATTTCTATCACCAGCTTAGATAACAAACACCGACTTGTGACGTAATATTCTGTTGGCAACAGAATTAAAACGAGGACTTTAAAATATATCATCATACATATCAAGACAAACCATTGCATTGTATAATGAATTCGTGACAAAATGGAGAAGCTGAGAAACCATGTAAGAGCATGGAAAGGCCAATCCGACAGGGTTGAGGATCTATCACGGAGTCAATATTCCCTGGTTTCCAATGGGGACCTGACAGCTGACGCATTGCAGCTATGGCTTAGGTTACCTGATGAAATCAAATACGATCCTGCACTAGACCAGTTCAAGCAGCATTATGAAAAAGAACATGGTGAGTTATTTTTAACTCTATTGAATTTTCTGTTAAAAGGGCTCTAATCTCTTACGATAATCTCTCTTTTATTTTGTACTCTGATAAACCTACTTATATTTTTCTAAATACTAGAGATAATAAATATATAGATAGAATAATAAATATCATAGATAATTTACACCATATAGAGAACAAATGATCGTTGTCATCACACAATATTTATCCTGTCTGGCAATCGAACCCACGAGCTCCGTCTTAGGAGTCAGGTTCACTAACCACAAGACCAACAATTTATCTATCATAATCCTAGTATGACTCATGCTCTTTAAAAAAAATGACATCAAGGTATATTAGTATGGTTTTATCATAATGCTACCAAAAAGATACTTGTATCATTTTTTTTGTGGTTTATAGTGTCATTAATAATATAATTGCATTCTTAAAGTGCCTCAAGGTATTATAATCGCTAGATGATAATATTATTACTTTATGATGGTTGTGTAAATAGTGGGCAAAGATTTGTAACATATTACAAACACACTGAAACATATACATTACGTAAAAATAAGAAATAAAACACTGCATTATATTGTTAATGTTTTATTCAAAATGGTTTTCAAGGTCTAACACGAACAAGTAAAGTAAAATAACTTCTCATAGTTTTCTGAAATGACAATTTAAGTTGAACTATGAGCGTTATATTGCTAATCTGCGTACATCTTTCTTTAGTTTCTAAGTGTATTATCGGACTAGAAAAATGGGTTAATTTATCTAGACAATGGCGGTATTATTCGCCACGGTTTGGACAAATTAGTCATACTTTTGATAATGTGCTAGCTTAAGGGCTGTTGATGATTGATGATGTATATAAATAAAAATATAGATTTTTTTTGTAAAGAAAAACAAGATTTAGGAACAAATTGAACTCAAAAGTAGTAAATAAGTTTTGGTTGTAAAAATATTTAGTTTTTAAAGCTTTTTCTTTAGTTAACTTTAGCTTGAAATATGTACTTACATTCCATAATTTTCTTCACAGGTATTATAGATCAAACTCCACTAAAATCAATAAGTAGTCCAACAAAGAGGCTACCTTCGGTCCATTCTGCCCCTCACCTCAATGAAAATGTGTATGAGCCGAAAGAAGAAGTAGCAGTTGTCAAGAGGATAAGACCAGAAGCAAAAGAACAAAAGCAAGAGAGAATGTAAGTATAGAGGCGTAACATAGAAATGAATAATTGCTTCTTAAAACCAGGTTCTTGGGAGTTTAAAATACTTAAAATAAATAAGTCAAAAATGCAAATACTACCTTATAAGAAAAAGATCTCAGAAAGGCGTTTGACTAGCGATATCAATATATATATCCGCCATTTGCTAAAGTAACGTTTTGGAGTTAGTCTCATAAAGATTTTTTTTTGAATAATAATTTGTTAATAATATTATTTGTACTTGCAGTCTTCAAAATGAAGATCAGCCATCAAAAAAGAAAACCAAAGTAAGTAGTATTACACTGTGTAGTTAAGGGAAGAAGAATAATCTTCCATCCTTAGCAGAAAAGAGAAGTTACCTCGGGATTGAGTAAATTAAATGTTTTACATTTTCTCAACAGATGGCACAAGCTGGTTACACGGTGAAAATAACGCTACTCGTAGGAGTATGGATGTTTTTCACTGTTGTGTTTTTGATGCATAATGAGAAATCGGAAATCACCAGGCACTCCTCAGTGGCTCCTGGACAAATAAAGGGTAAGGATTTGGGGCTGTTAAGAACTAGATCATACGTTGGATATATCGATTTTACAAACAGATACACACGTTAAGTTCTCATTTATTAATTTTATTGCTCAAAAACATAACTCCCGCACTAGGAATATTATTATCCTGCGTCGCGGGTGACTTTAAACAAATTTATGAAAGAACACCCACACTCAGAACAACATTTTTTATATCACACAAAGTATTGTGTATGTTGGGATCACACCCACAACAACCAGTGCAGTAGGAACCGGGGTGACAAGTAATACCAGTCGTGCAGTCAGTTCTTATTATATATTCTTAAATTGCCAACTTATTGTTTTTTTTTTCACTAGGAATCACTATACTGTTGTATGTTTTAGAGGATCCAAACAATATCACTTTCCTTCTGGGTTTGGAAATGGGTTTCCCGGAGAGTTCATTATTCTACACGAGCTCCTGATAAAAATACATTTGTATACAACAAACATAGAAAGAAAAGAATTTGGGGGTATTTTGCAAGGGAAAGAAAGGCACGGCAACAAGGCAATATAAAGAATAGAGTTGTTGTGAAGTGTGAGCAATACCTCCAGGTCGACCATAGGTCGAGGTTGCAAACATGCCTCGTCAGAATGTCGGAGATCGGTGAATCTGACTTAACCCTTAATTTTCCAGACTACATCCTTAACACAGAGCAGGCGAAGCTATCAATATACCTGAAGCTGACAGGGCCCTTTATATCAGAACAGTATCAGAAGAAACTTAACGATCGTGTCAAGTCAAATATGACTGCAATGCGAGTCTGGCTTGAGAAGTGGCACCTGAAGAAAGACAGGAACGATTATAGCGGCGCTGATGATATTGCCCACAGGCTGGTGAGTTATTAAAGACTTGGAATTAATTAAATTCCGTATTAGAAATTTTATAGGCAGATTCCACTGTCTCACGGGAAACCGGCGTTCACCAGTAGTTTGGATGCTTTTGCTTTTACCCAGTCCTTCGCCCCTTTCATTCCTAACTTTGGAGGGACGGGAGGTGGGAGGGGGGCGGCGGACTTGTTCCTCCTCCAGTTCCTGGTATTAATGGGTGGCGTTAGTAGCTTACCAATTGGTGACCCGTCTGTATACCTAAGAAGTTGTTCAGAGACAAATTATAATTCTAGAGTTGTAATCAACATTCTTAATTCTGACAGGCATCATCCCCATGGACAATAGTCCTTGAAAACGAAAATCAAATGGACTTTCAAGAAAGCGAGACCCGCTCCGTGGTCCTACAATTAGACACCATACACACTAACAGCACTAAGTACGCAGTGAGAATGAGCTCCAACTCCAATGTCACTGTGCCCTTCACCCTGAGTTATACGGTGGACCCCCTCGATCCCACTGCTGGAGTCATATATGCATTAGTTCTGCTATGTGCTTTGTATGTTCTTATTGTGTTTGAGGTGAGTTGGTTAATTTTGAAAAAATAAATTCATCATCATCATTATTATCATCACCATCGTCATTATCATTTTCCTCATCATCATCGCTGACGGGTTTGTTGGTTTAGTGGTTAGTGACGACTAAGCCGAAGATTCCCAACCAGGACAAATTATTGTGTTATTAAATTATTGACGGGCCTGTTGGTCTAGTGGTTAGTGCCCCTGACTGCTAAGCCGGAGGTCGTGGGTTCGATTCCCACCCAGGACAAATATTGTGTGATGAGCATGATCATTTGTTCTGTGTCTGGGTGTAATTTATCTATAATATGTATGTATTTAAAAATATATAAGTATGTTTATCAGCTGTCTGGTTACCATAGCACAGGTTCTGCTAGGTTGGGATCAGATAGCAGTGTATGAGATATGTCCAGTTATTATTATTATTATTTTTTCTGTGGCCCTGAAAATGAATGTAAAATAATAATTAGTTAAAGAGTCAGGACGTAAAACACAAAAAACAAACTGATACTCTATGGTTCTTCTTTCAGATTATCAACAGGACCATGGCAGCTCTCTTATTGTCTACCGCATCTCTAGCCGTCTTGTCTATGGCTGGTGAAAGACCAACTTTAACGGAGCTCGTGACCTGGATAGACGTGGAGACGCTCCTGCTACTGTTCAGCATGATGCTGATAGTAGCTATAATGACGGAGACAGGAGTGTTTGATTATATTGCTGTGTTAACGTTTAAGGTTTGGTTCTCTTTCAATCTCTTACTATCACCGATGTGGTGGTGGTTTAATAGTTGAAATTAATATATGTATATTTGGTAGTCATCATCATCGATAGCCTTTAGTGTCCACTGCTGGACATAGGCCTATCCTTAGAAAATAGGTTTCGGCGTACTATACCACGCTGGCCAGTCGGGTTGGTAGAGTGTTTGTGTCAAGTTTTTCTTCTCTAAGCAGTGCTGTTGTCTTCCGTAGTTTGCTCCCTTATTCAGCTGTTACGACACCTACGGAATGAATAGTGGTGGTGACACTCCGTATTCTTAATTCGCCATCATACGGAATATAGGTTTTAAGGACGTTACAATCAAAACCCATAGAAAATTATCAAAGAAAACTACAAGTAATTCTAAACCTACATATTCGTATTTCCTGAATTAGGAAACATGCGTCACGTCGAGGTCTTTCATTGCGAGATGCAGAATCGTTAGTAACTACATAATTCGGATCGTTTGCGTTAGATGGCGCTGAATTAAATAGGCTTCTCTCAATGATTTTAATATTTCAGTTCGCGAAAGGCAGGATATGGCCGCTGATAACGTCGCTGTGTGCCATCACTTCTGTGGTGTCTCTGTTACTTGACAACGTCACCACCGTGCTCTTCATGACTCCTGTAACCATACGGTAAGTGACTTCTAATGTTTCCCTTTACTAGATTATTTTCCGGCAAACTCTTTTTCCTTAATGAGAGTGAGAGGAGATGAGTTAGGAAAATACCATTGCAGGACATGACGAAATATCTCGGTGATCAAACTTTAGAAACTGTGGGAGAGATAACGGAGGCGGAAAACCGGTGTTAAGCGGTTCTTTCGTAGCTTTCCCTCGAGTGGGTTACCGGAGGCCCAATCACCTACCTAACTCTTGGGAGTGGAGGGGGGGGGGGAGGGGTGAGACTCAAATGGCGGCAACATACTGATGTCTCTTGAGTTGCCGATATTCCTGAATGTTGTGATTCCTAAGCTACATGGCGTCCATGGGCGGTGATAGTCACTTTCCATAAGGTGACCAGTCGGTTTGTTTGTCCTAATCTGAAAAAAATGTTAGTTTTTGTCTTTATAAGAAAAATAGAAAAAAATCTAGACGATAAAGTGAAAACTCTTATGAAAATAATTGACTATAGTTAACACGCACATTTTAATATGTGAATTAGAGCTTCTTTTGCTCTGACAAATACCTTGTTTTGTACATAAGGAGAAGGAGAAGATTTAAGGTTGCTCTGTGATGATTAGGACTTTTTTTTTAAATTAATAAGACTGCACGGATGGCGTATTGGTTTAAGCGGTCGCCACGCCCCTTCCGTTACATGTATGTGTGGTAATTCCCCCGCGACACAGGATATATTCCTAACTAGCTGACCCTGCAAACGTTGTTTTGCTATTTACATTATTTAATAATAAAAATTTTGTTTTTGAATTTCTTAAAATCCTTCCTTAAAATCCTTATATATATATATATATATATATATATATATATATATATATATATATATATATATATATATATATAGATGCGCGGCTTTAAAAAAAAAGAAAAAATATAAGAATTATTATTTTTTCTCTGATCAGGCTTTGTGAAGTAATGGACTTAGACCCTATTTCGGTGCTGATGGCCATGGTAATATTCTGTAACTTGGGAGGTACTGCAACTCCTGTTGGTGATCCGCCGAACGTCATCATAGCTTCTAACAAAGTTGTTGTCCAATCTGTAAGTACTCAATCACAACTTTGTGTGTTTATTGTATATTGTTGAGTATGCAAACCCATAACACCACATCACACCCTCACAATCACCATATCGTGATCATCATCAACACCATCATGACAACTGTGATCCACCATCACTACTAAATCCACCATAACTTGCTCTCTCCTAATTCTACTACCGTTATTTTCATAATCATTATTAACCAGATGTCCTAGTGGTTTGTGGAACGGACTGCTATTCCAAAGGTCGCGGGTTCAATTCCAGCTCAAGTCAAACATTTGTGTGCATGAACATTTAAATGTTTGATTTGGTCTGGGTGTTTATATGTATAATATGTATGTATTTACAAAAAAAAAGTATATAAGTATTTATATCAGTTGTCTAGTACCAATAGTACAAGCTCTGCTTAGTTTGGAACTAGATGGCGTTGTGTGAATGTGGTACAATATTATTATTATTATTTTATTATTAAATTAAAACACTTGGACGAAAATCGGTCTAATTTTTTCTAAAATTTATATCTGTTTATTATAAAAGAAAAAAGTTTTCCTTATAAAGTCCAAAACTGCTTATGACTGCACGGATGGCGTAGTGGTTTAAGCGGTCGCCACGCCGCTTCCTACCACGCCGAGTGTTGTGGGTTCAAACCCACATGGGACGACACTTTGTGTGATCCACAAATTGTTGTTCTGAGTCTGGGTGTTCTTTGTGTCCGTTTCATGTATGTTTGTAAAGTCCTCCGCGACACTTTATTCCTAATGCGGGCGTTGTCTTTAAAAAAAAAAAACTAATGTAGTGATATTGTTCTAGGGTGTGAATTTTACCAACTTCTCCTTACACATGTCTCTGGGGATCCTGCTCGTATGTATACAGACGTACATACATCTCAGATTTATATATAGAGATACGACAAAGTTAAAGCTGACCGAGTCCAGAGAAGTCCTGGGTGAGTTGTATTTTTATACTTGTGTGCTAATCTGTGTTACCATAGCTCCTAAATGGATGTACAAATTTCGATTTAGTATTTTGTCATCCATAAGCTAATTCTGTGCCAACGAGACGATTAAGAAAATGCCGTGTCTGCTCTTCAAACATCTCACACACGGCCGACTGATCCCAAAAAGCCTATGCTATAATATCCAGTCATATTTCTAAATACACACATAGTATATATTTTTTTAATAAATAATATTTCGGACATCTGACAGACAACGCCATCTAGTTTCAAACTAAGCAGAGCTTGTACTATGAAAGTTAGATTGAATGATCGAATACTCGTAACGGATACTTAAATTAAACCCAAACACAACAAATGACCGTGCTCATCACACAATATTTCTCCTGGGTTGGGATCGAACCCACGACCTCTGCCTTAGCAGTCAGGGTCACTAACCACTAGACCAACAGGCCTGTATTCTCAGTAAGTGAGGATAACCGAGCCCTCACTTTCCCCTTATTCTGGGGGATTAAAGGGGCGGCAACGCAGTTGTGACTTTTGGGATGCAGGTGGTGCCGACGTTACTTCATTGGATTGTATAAATGAGATAGTGGACGCAGTGAGTGTGTCTGAGATAGTGGACTAAGTGGGTAGTGGTGATTTTATCATTAAGAAAATTACTACTGTGGTGGTGCAGTGGTAGCGTATGCGACTGCTGAGCTGAGGTTCGATTCACGGATCGGACCAAATGTTTATGATCTGCAAATAATATGTATGTATTTATATTAAAAAAAAAAACACAAAAAAATTGATAAGTATTTCACCAGTCATACTAGTTTTCATCGTACATGTATCCGTATCGTAGTTTGAAACTAGATGGCGTTGTGTCAGATGTCTAAAAAGAAAAAAAAAATATACGATAAACGGACAATGAATGATATGCGCGAACGCGGCCGTGTGGTATTGTGTCTGTCTGGTCCGCCGATTAGCCCCGATTAACTGTGGATGCGATCGGCAGATGACGAGTACACTGGTGTCTAGTGACTCTCTAGAGTCTCAAGTGCATTATCGGCCTTTGAGTTCCAGCCCAGAACCAGCTTAAATCCAGCTCGGGTTTGGGCTCCGGTAACCCCTCACTCACTCGGTGAAAGGCAAAGAAAAACTGCTTCAAATCGGTTTTCTGTAAGACCGTATTATCCTTCTGGTCGAACCGGTCTATTTGTGCCGAAATATGGCTCTTCCACTTAATACTCCACTTCTTCAGGAAGGTTGGCTACTTGAAATCAAACTCCGTCTCTTGGGAATAGAGCAGTACCCATACCCCCGATGGAAACTGCAGGAAACAACTAAGCAAATACTAAAAAACTTCTGATACAAGACTGGTTTTCTTCAGATCTCCGTCACCAGATCTCTATCTGGCGTCGTGCGGCAGACTCCCTCCAGCACCTATCTCGCGATGAGCTGGTGGTTCGAGAGCGGCTCGAACGTAAGGTGAAGAAGCTCACCGCGAGACTTAACGCCCTCGTGATAGAGACTCGACGCAGAGCCTACCCCAAAGACTATTACGAGACCATGCTGGCTGATATGAAACAAAAGGTACATGGAGAAGAAACTTATAAACCTTCTTGCCGTGTTAATTTCTTTATGTGTTTTTTTTATATTTAAAGTGGGTTTACGTTTAGTAGCGTACTTAATTTTCTTAAATATGATATCAAGTTCAGGGTCAAAGCTATAACCTCTTAAATTCAGCATAAAAATTTACAGCAGGTTTTTAGAAAAAAAGAGTGTGTGTGTCAGCTCCGACGCACGACTGGAGTTTACTCCTTAAGAACGCATACCCTGTGTACGTCGGGTGCACACAAATTTAGTGATCAGCGCCATCTATCTAAATCTCAATAAAATAATTAGAAGTCACGTATATATTGCCATTTATTTTTGGGGTCTATTCCGTTTTTACTCATTAAATTGAAACAAATTGCAATCATGTAACTAATAACAAACTCACAAAAAGTATTATTACAACCACATAAAAGTAAATAGTTGAACAGCTATCTATAAATTACAGTTAGAACTAAAAACCGTAACGAGGTCATTCGATCACTAAATTTTACTCGTCATATTTTTTTTATACCGGGCGCCTTACTTGAAAATTAATTCTTAAGAAGTAAACTCCTGAAACTTAAAAAACATAACGAATTTATAAAAAATAATTTCTTATTTTTACGTTACAATTCAATAATTTCTCAAAGCCACTGCCTTAAGCTTGACTTTTCCAACAGCATAAAATAAGAAACAAGCCCCTTCTTGTGAAGTGCGCCGTGACCCTCGCGTTCGTCGTGCTCACATTTTTTCTACATGTCATACCAGAATTCAGTAAGTAAGATTTACATTAAGTAATCACATATATGGAGCTCGTAGCTTAGTGGAACACATTGCAAAAGTTAAGGAATCATAGCCAGGTCAGTCTATGGATGGGTGACCGTTCTTAACACATTGAGACCCTTCCGTGCCTCAGAGAGCACTATAAGCCGTAGGTCCCGGTTGCCATACGAACAACTCGCCGCTTTCTACTTCGCTGGGTGTTGTGGGTTGGACCCACATGGAACAACACTTTGTGTGATCCACAAATTGTTGTTCTGAGTCTGGGTGTCCGTTTAATGTATGTTTGCAAAGTCCCTCGCGACACAGGATTTATTCCTAGTACGGGGTTGTCTCTTTTTTAAATAAAATTGAATATATATTTTTTTTAATTTGTGGCAATCATTACGGGTAGTTGGGGCCCTTAAAAGTCCGATAACAGTCTTTCTACAGAACTTCGATATCGCCCAGTACTGGAGTTGTGGAGGTCTGAGTCGCTCTTCATATCCGTGCCGTAGTAAAATTTGCAAAATAAAATTAAATAATTTCCTTTACGAACTTTGGCTAAACTGTTATGTTGCTTTGGTTCGTCGAATCTTTTTGAATAAATATAATCAAAAGATTTTACATGAATAGGTTTGTGTATACCAATAACAAATTGCTTGGTTTATAGTTTCAAATTATAAATGAAGAGACATTGATAAGAAAAACCAGCCTATCTATACTAATATTATAAAGCTGAAGAGTTTGTTTGTTTGTTTGAACGCGCTAATCTCAGGAACTACTGGTCTGATTTGAAAAATTCTTTCGGTGTTAGATAGCCCATTTATCGAGGAAGGCTATAGGCTATATATCATCACGCTAAGACCAATAGGAGCGGAGCACCAATGAAGAATGTTTCAAAAACGGAGAAAATTTATTACTATTGAGAGACGCAGACGAAGTTGCGCGGGTCAGCTAGTTTCTCATAAAGTTAAAGATTATTAATGTATTTTTTTAATAAATTCGTTCAAAATAGGCACTAAGTCACGTGACAGCGAACACCAATCAGAAAGTGTTACGTCACGCCACGCAAAACATCATTGTTGTTGTTGACGTTTTCATACAACAGAGCAGGTTACTCCTTATTCCTTATTCATTTTTAGAAAACAGTTGACACTGGACACAGATGTAAATAGTTTTGTTTTGCAGACTGTGACGTCATTCAAGACGCCATTACACTATTCAGCGTTTTCAAGGGAAATTAAATTGTTTTTTTTTTTAATACAATATACGTACATACGTAATGTAAATATTGCTTTTTCTTTAAAATATAGGTTGTTGGGATAAAATAGATATCTTATATATAAAATTCTCGTGTCACAATGTTCGTTCCCGTACTCCTCCAAAACGGCTTGACCGATTCTCATGAAATTTTGTGTGCACATCGCGTAGGTCTGAGAATCGGCCAACATCTATTTTTCATACCCCTAAATGGTAAGGGTGACCCATCCCTATTTTTTTTGTTTGCAATACAACGTTTACCGGGTCAGCTAGTTAAAGTATATAATTAGAAATTGAGTCAACTAGCCTATTGTCTTGGTCTAGATTGTCTAGAATGATGATGGTGAGATGGACAGCTGCGATTCCCTATGCACCGAACTTGTACTATCAGACTAGTTCTTTCTGTATCCAGATCGAGTGTCCCTAGGCTGGACAGCACTCCTGGGTGCTCTGCTGTTACTGATGCTGGCTGACCGCGAGGACCTGGAGCCAGTGCTCCACAGGATCGAGTGGTCTACTCTACTGTTCTTTGCAGCGCTCTTCGTACTCATGGAAGTAAGAACTATCACTGTCAGCAGACTGGTTCTATTAATTAAACTTTCGTATTCTTTAGCCTTACATTTAACTTTAATTTATTCTAGAATAGATTGTTTACAATAAATATGCTATTATACATTTAGATAAAACCAACCCCCACTTAACTCTATGGGCGCTTAAAAGTCCGCAACACATTTGTGTTAGGCGGTGGTAGGCGCTTACTATCAGGTGAGCAGTCAGCTCCCTACACCATACTACATAATATGTATACTTATGTAGATCTTATAAATAAACACACAAACGCCCAATGTATTAATAAAATAAAAAAAATACCGTCTTTAGAGCGCCCCCCAGAATTTTGAGGGGGGAGGGCGGGGGTTCCTGTTGCCTAACTCAATTGGTGAAAAGCAACAAGAGAACTGCTTAACAACGGTTTTCTGTGTGACTGTGGTATCACTTCGGTTCCAGCCGATTATCGTCGGAGTGGGCAGAGCGGCCTTTCCGGGCACGTATGCTTAGGCAAGTAACTGCACTTGGTCGCTACGAGGGAATTGAGTGCCGCCTGTCACCATTGCGGTTGCAGTGAGGGTTCGGCTTGGCACCCCTGGTAATTTGCCCGGCTTGGGCGTCGCAGCGCCGTATCCTCATTGCAGTCGTCAGATGGAATCTCTCGCTACCGCTCCATGGCCGGTAGTGATAGATGTTTTCTTCTGCAAAATCGTCATCTCGCAGAAGGAGTCGGCAGATGATCTCCACTCAGACCGAATTCATCGCTGGCGAGCCGGGCAGCGGAGGTGCGCTTACCAGACAGGACGGGTTTTCCCCACGTGTGTCGTTCACCCGATGGTGATGCTCGCTCTTTGAGGGCAGGCGATAGGGGGGGAATGGTCCAGGTGTCTTAATAACAGCAGTTCCCGGATCCCGCCTATTACAGGCGCGGAGTCGTACACCGTATGGTTTTAGTCGGTCCGATTCTGACACATCACCCCAACGCAAACCCCGGTGGGGTGACGGCCCGAGGGGATGCCCATACGTAAAAAAAAGGCCCTTGGCTATCAATTACTCAATCAATTACTACCCAATTTTATCTGGTTTCCCCTCATGTGGAAATCATTCCGCTGGATCCTAGCCCATATAAGGCTCCCACAGAAGGATCTTTCCGTGGGGTGGCCTTCCCACAGACAGCCTTCACTATAACAATCAAACTATTGTTAAATAATTCGAAACACATACATATTATACACATATAAATATTCCTTTAACTTATAAATTACACCGTTTTATAAATATTTCAAGGAGCATGATATTGTTGCAGGCTTTAGCCAAGCTGGGTCTGATAGACTACATAGGAGGTATGACTGAAGCTCTCATCCTGAGAGTGGATGAGAGCGACCGACTCGCTGTGGCTTTAGTCCTCATGGTGTGGGTATGTATCTGATGGATTACGAGAAAATAGGTTGCTGTTGTTCTGTAGGACAATAGGTTAGATGACTGTCAAGTCAAATCAGTATCTTTTTTTAAACGTCGAAACGTCATTTTTGTATGAAATACTTTATTGTGACGTCATACCTAGCTATTGTCAAATCAGTTTTAGTTAATGTTAATATCAAGATATCAAATTAATATAAACATTAAATTGATAATGGAGGACAATTTAGACTCTACTTTAAGATGTAACATTTAATGATGCGGGGACATTATTTATTTGAAACCTAGGAATCTACCCTGTATTGAAAAATACTGCGCTTTAAAAATAAACATTTATCTTGAAGCATGGTTGAAGCATTTTTTTTTATAATAATAATAACGTATATTTCACAAAAGCTTACGGGGTTGCAAATTATAGGTATACTGACATTTCTTAATTACAAGTAAATAAAGTAAGCATCTGTTACTTTAATTTCTTTTTGTTCATCACACATCAACAGCCTTTAATAGTCCACTGCTGGACATAGGCCTCTCCTTAAAAAGAAGGTTGTCCGTGTAGTGACGGATTAAGAATACGGAATGTCACTACCCCAATTCATCCCGTGGGTGTCGTAAGAGCCGACTAAGGGCGCAAAACAACGCATCACACCAGCACTGCAAAAAGAAGGAAAACTTGACACACACCCTATACCAACTCGTCTGGCCAGCGTGGTATAGTAGGCCAAAACCTTCTTCTTTTTGTTAAATGAGTAAAAAATATATTTTAATTAAACAAGGTAAAAATGAGTGAAGTGTTCATGCAAGTGTCCTCTCTTTGTGTGACGGGATAGTGTAGTTGTCTGAAATACATTTCAGAGGGTGTATAAAGTAGCGTATTTGTATTCGTGTATGTGTGGTGTGTGTATGTGTACGTGTGTGTATGAGTGTGCGTGTGCGTGCGTGCGTTCATGTGTATTTGTGTGGTTATTTATTTAGTTTTACTTTGCTATATGTAGGAGTAGTTCCGTTTATTCGTAATTCAGCTTTAGTAAGTATTCACATAAACATGACAAACAACAACAAACAACCTTTCTAAGGAGAGGCTTATGCTTAGGTCCAGCAGTGGACTGTTAAGGCTGTTGATGTGATGTGAAGTATTCACATACCTGTTTCTTTAATTGCACTTTTGTCAAGGGATATATGTTTATAGCTCTATTAATTCTATTGTATATAAAAGGGACAATGAAATTAGCGAAACGGTCTGCAAATTTTGTTTTACAAGTTGCTAGCCGGGGTCAAACTACGAGTATATCTTTTCTTTGTTTTTCCAAAAGTCCTAGGTCAAAGGCTGACGTAAACATTTTCATGCAGTCGGTGTTCTTGTTATCTTTTTCAATAATTAGCTTGTTTATAAATTATAAGTGAAGTTTGCGCCGTATCAATTATTTCTAGCTTAAAAAAATCGTGCTTTGGACTATATTCAATTCTTATTTATTTAAATAAAAAGGTTCAATTTATAGAACACCTTTTATTTTACTTTAATATCAGTCCATAAGTATGCTTATACACCGGAATTCATGAGATCTGTCTGCTTATGAACACGGAATGTGCAACTTGGAAATTTTACCCATAAGGGTAAAAATTAAATACAGTTTCTTACAATTTCTTAATGGGACAAAGTCACAAGTTCAAACATAATGATATATTCCAGGTATCGGGTATCACATCAGCGTTCGTCGACAACGTACCATTGACGACTATGATGATCAGGGTAGTGACGTCACTGGGCACGAACCCCACACTCAACTTGCCCATGACGCCGCTCATATGGGCACTTTCATTTGGAGTATGTTTAGGAGGTTAGTATGTATGCATACATTTTAACTGATATTATTTCTTTATATACCTAGTAGACATGGCCAGGTGCAGTGACGATTTGCGCAAGATGGCTGGCAAGCGCTGGTAGCGAGAAGCCCAAAATCGATCTAAGTGGCGTGCAATGGGAGAGGCCTATGTCCAGCAGTGGACTGCGATAGGCTGATGATGATGATGATACCTATTTTGTTTGACTTTTGGTCTTTAAGCCCCTTCTAAAAATCAATTTATTGTTTGAAGTTTCAACAATTTGAGTTACCTTTCTATACAGTGTATACCATCCAGGGTACCATGAAGTAATTAATGTATTTTTCAGGTAACGGCACTTTAATAGGAGCCAGCTCAAACGTGGTATGCGCAGGAGTTGCAGAACAGCACGGCTACCGGTTCAGTTTTATGCAATTCTTTAAAATTGGCTTCCCAGTCATGTTAGGACACCTCGTTGTCGCCACTTTCTATCTACTAATATGTCATTGTGTATTCCAATGGCATTAAATGAAAACAGAAGAGAAATGTGGTTTTATAAAAACTAGAACCTAAAAGCTAGTATCTAAAAGAATCCAAGAAGCTAGAAATAAAAAGTTAGAAGCTAGGAATATAAAGCTAGAAGCTAAAAGCTAAAATGAATTTAAATTTTTTCGCTCAACAATACACTAAGCCTGATGTCATATGTGACTGTTGTGCTGAATTATCGGGTTCGATTTCCAGGTCGGATCAAATGTTTGTATGATCTGCAAATATTTGTTTCGGAGTTTGGGTGTTTTCTATGTAGGTATATATATTTACAAAAAAATATTCAAATGTTATATCAGTCAATCAAGCTTTCATAGTACAAGCTCTGCTTAGATTGAAACTAGATGGCGTTGTGTGTCAGATCTCCAAAATATTATAATTATTATGTACACTGCAGACGTCATAAATAGTTACCTCAAAATCACTTTTTCATTTACAATTTTGAATTGTCGGTTAATAAATGTTATAGAGTTTTTTAATTATCGATTTTTATTTTGCAAAAAAAAAAGTTTATCGCATGTAATATTACATATACCTACATTAGTGCGTATTCACATCTGTACAAATAAATAATATTGAAGTGTCTGTTTGTAATGTCAAAGTAATAGGTTTTTTTCATGCTCACACGGTTATTTGCCCGATACCTATAAACCTATTTATGCCATGCCATGCTATGCCTAAAAACCAGTTTAATTTATTTTTGTCTGTCTGTCTGTCTGCTTATTCCGGGTAATCCTCTAAACGGCTAATAAAATTTTACTACCAGGCAGCTGTCTACATAAGGAATGACTTAGGCTATTTTTACTATCAGAAAAACTCGTTAAAAATTTTCCCGGTCCGGGAATCGAACCCACTATGGCAGCGCTTTTCAAATTCCACGCGAACGAATTCACGGGTACCAGCTAGTATAATATGTCATTATTATTATACAATAAGTGTTTTTAGATAATAATAAAAGGGAAGCCAATAGGACTTAAATGTTGGACTTGGACTTGTAAGAGAATACCTATACTTAAGCGCGATAATTCCTGGGACTATTTGTGTAATTAGAAATGTTAATTATGTACGAGTATAAGACGGACTGTCCATCGAAGAAGTTATAGGCTAACATCATGCTACGACATTAAGGAGCGGAGCAGTGACCGCAATCAACGCGGGTGAAACTGCGGGAAACGATTAATCTTTCTTCTACCTATGGAGGTATGTTGGAGATTTGTATGTATTTTAAAATAAAAAAGTTACCCAAAAAAAAATAAGGCGGCAAGTCCAGCAACCCTATAAGTTAGGGACGCTAAATCGAGGTCGTCCCTCGTGGCCTTAATAAATATGGAGGGCGACCTCAAATTTGAAGAGGAAGTCGTGGCACTTCACTGTCAGAACTTTAGACACCCAATATAGACACACCAGAGAGGCTGAGGAAGGAAGCCAGGATGGCATTTAAGAAGTCCAGGAAAGGCGGAAACTGGACTACCGCGGTGCTGGAATGCTCCCCGCTCTACACTATGACAACAAACTCTATCTAAGACAAATAACTAAATTTTGAATTAAAATAACATGGCAATAAAATTTATTTGAATTTAGAATTGCGCGCCAATCCACAGACAAAACTGCTGATTAAACCTGGAACAGCTGGTTTAAAAAAAAATTCAACTTCATAAGTTAATATTATGTAGTAAAAGGTTTTATTCGTATATTTTATGTTACACAAACGAAGTCTCTTTTTTTCATGTATATCATAATTATCGACGCGACAGGTCGCTTCGCCACTTGATGAAAAGCCCTGGCGGGATACCCTGGTTGGGCCCGACAGGGGTTTAACTACAGTCGTATATCTTAACAAAATAACAAAGTACAAAATAGCTTAAAAACCAATGTTTACATTAGTGTAAAAACCATAATAATATTATTTTCGTTTGCTTCCATTTATCCGACTTTAATAAGAAGGACATTACGACAGAGTATTTGTTTCTTTGTCGTGTTTTTTTTGTAAAGATAAGTTATTTGTGAATTAATTATTTAATAAGGAAAGGTGGTAATATTTTATAAGGATTAGACAGAACTGTATATAGAAAAAAACATGGTTTATGTTTAAAAAAAGGTTTTTGGTACATTTTTTTTTTTTCATTTATCTTGTGTAGTGTGTAGTCTTAATAAATTTTAACCGATTTCAAAAAAGGGAGGATCACAATACGGTGTATTTTTTTAAATAATTGTTACTTCAGAACTGCCGTCATTCATGAATCAAATTGAAAATTTTTTTTTTGTTTCTGGTGGGTATCCTTTCCGTTTGGGCTCATTGAAATTTTATAAATAATACAACTTAGTCGGTTATACTTTTTAAGAGTTAATTACTAATTGTTTATATGTACCTAAGTGATTACAATAACAGACATAAATATATGAAATGTAAAAGTATTAAACAATTATTCTTTTCTTTACATTTTATTACAAATCTTTTTAAAATATCATTATCATTTTCCTGACGTTCCTCCTAAAAATTCTTCTCCTTTTCTTAGTCGTGTGAAAAAACAGGTAGGCAAAGTTAAAAAGAGGTATAGGAGGGCAAACGAACAACCGTGTCACCTGATGGTGAGCGACTACCGATGCCCCTGGACACCTGTAACTCGAGTCACAAGGACATCGCCAGCCGTATAGTCCCCTCCAATCCTAGAATCAGGGAGAGGGAGGGTTTGGGCTCCAGTGACCTCACTTATTCATTAAAAAGCAATGACAGCGAATTGATTACTAGCGGTTTTCGGCAAGGCTGTGGTACCCCTCCGGGCAAGTACCTCATGAAGTGGGCGGTGCTACGTTTTGTTTTTAACCAACGTCAAATTAAGTTTCCCCGTGTCCACACCCGGTGCAATCCGATCAAAAAGTCGAGTGAGCGTAACTGTTACTTATGCTTACCCGACTGGATACCTATTTTTACACGCTTTATATGTATTAGCTTCACTTGTATGTTTGTTTCTATAATAATAATAATAATAATAATAACCCCCCCGGGGATCACCTTGCCGTGGTGGGGGGGCTTACGGGTATCGGGTACTGGTTATGATCTTAACAACTCATCATTGTGTTGGGTCTCTGCTTCTGGAGTGGCCGGAGACCTGATACTAGCACCTATCCAACTAACGATCCCAAACCCATTCAATGGAGCACCTTATGGAAACTGAGAAGAAGAAGTATAATTTACGGTCGCTTCCCGGGGAGCGCCGGGGCGCATCTGGAGCCGATGCTGGGTGCCACAGCATGCGAACCATCGGTGGTGGGACGTTGAGCAGGCGGACTCTCACCAAACAATCTACTACAGCCGGTCGAGGTGAGCTGAGCAGGCGGGCTCATCGCGTAGAAGCTACAGCCGGTCGTAATGAGTTGAACTGGCGGACTCATGACGTTGCGGTCACAGCCGATTCTTCAGGCGATGATACAAAAACATTATCTTCTTCCATCCCTCAAACTTGCCTTCCATACATGACAAGAAGAACAGCAAGATTATCAAGCACTAGCACCAATAACGCGTATGCTATGCAACGCCGATCAACCGAGCGATTACCTTCACCCTCACTTAGTACCACACAGTCAGAACATTCACTCTTCTCTAATATACCATCACCGTCTTCAACCCATAGCTTATTTCGATCACCCACCTCATCACTATCATCTACTTGTACATATTCATCCCGAACTACAAAGTCAACGGCTGCTGTGCAGGAGGCATTAGCCACTAACCCTGTACCCACTGCTGGCCCTTCTCGTACGCGAAAGAAATGGACTGAAGATATGAACCGTTTTATATGGCGTACATACCTTTTAATAACAAACTGCGAGACTTCACAAATGAACAACTATTTAGAAGCTTTGCATCGAGAATTTGACAATAGATATCCCGACATGCATGCCACTCGACAACGATTAGGAGACCAAAAAAGAGCCATAATTAGAAGAAAATTACTGTCACAACCTGTGTTAGACGAGATAGTTTTTGAAGTAAAAGAGCAAATAGGAGATAAAACCCTTAACCATTCACAGATACATAGTTACGACGATCACACAATACGCAATAGAGCAAATGTTTTCAACAACAGTAGAATGAAATGGACGGAAGAAATGAACGATGATGTTATAAGATGCTACCTTGAAGCAACAGAACTGGAGACAAATAAGACTGCCTACCGTAAAAAACTTTATGATTTGTTTTTAGAAAAACATCCTAATTTATCTAATTTAACTGAACAGAGAATAGCAGATCAAAGAAGACTAATATTCATTAATAAAACATACACTAACAGAATACATAAATTAAAGCATGAAGTACAGTTAAAGCTAACAGATCAAAATAACCAAATTTTACCTAACCTAAACGATTCTATTACTGAACAAACACACAACACACACGAAAGCCTAATAGACTGTACACTAACACTGACTGAAACAACCACAACAACTAATGCACAGAATGAAAACATCACGATTCATAACACGGATAGTAATAGTGATAGTAGTTTAGATAGTATTAGGATAGAAATAGAATTTAATAAAGCTCTTACACAAACGTGTAAGAGCTTTATTAAATTCTATTTCTAAACCAATATAATTGATCCAGAAGCAAGACCATATATTCCAAAACAAAAGACGTCACGAAAATTTGCTAAAATTACTCAATTTCTAAATATCAATATTTTACCGAAACACTTAAACCACGAATTAGACTTTAGTTCGTTACACACCTTAATATATTCAGCAGCCTATACAGCTGCTATTTGTAACGGCACTAAATTCAGCACTGAAGATAGTATAACCACTTATAAACGGAATAGGACGCCTGCGTGGCAAAGAAGAATTGAAAGCAGAATAGAAAAATATAGATTAGAAATAGGAAGATTAACACAATACATGTCAGGAAATAGAAGTCAGAGAATACTAAAAACTGTAGAGGAAATAAAGAATAAATATAAAACTCATTCACAACACGAAGAACCTAACACAGAACCACAACATTTTCTTGACACACTAAAACAGAAATTAAACGCGACCGCAAATAGACTTAAAAGATATTTAAATTGTACTAAACGGAAACAGCAAAATGGAAACTTCATAAATAATGAAAAACAGTTTTATAGAACCCTAGGACATAATAATCAAATAACATCAAAAACTACAGAAATCCCCTCACCACAAAACCTTCATCAATTCTGGGCTGGCATTTGGGAAAACCCAGTGCAACACAACACTCATGCCGACTGGTTACAAAAAATAGCAGACACATCAAACATTAACCAAATGGAGTTTGAAAACATCCCAGTTGACACATTCATTCAGATCATCAATCGCACACATAACTGGAAGGCACCAGGCACCGACAATATACACAATTACTGGTATAAAAAATTAACCTGCACACACCCATTCGTCCACAGTCACATTTGCAAATTCATTCAATCACCGCACACTTTGCCAACATTCATAACACAAGGAATCACATACATGCTACCAAAAGGTTCAGACTCCAAAAATCCTGCAAATTACAGACCTATCACATGCTTGCAAACTATATATAAAATTATTACAAGTTGCATTAGCGAAATTATTTACAGACACTTAAATGAATACAACGTGCTGGCAGAACAACAAAAGGGGTGTAAAAAAAAATAGCCAAGGTTGTAAAGAACAATTAATCATAGACTCAATAGTAATGAGACAAGCCCAAACTAAAAATAGGAACATCCATATGATGTACGTCGATTACAAGAAAGCATTTGATTCTGTCCCCCATAGTTGGTTATTATATGTATTGGACCATTATAAAATTCACCCTAGTCTCATAACATTCTTAAGCACAGCCATGCTTCATTGGAAAACTAAATTAAAATTAATAAATAACGAGTTAACCACTGACTTGATAAAAATTAAAAGAGGCATATTTCAAGGAGATGCGCTTAGCCCGCTTTGGTTTTGTATGGCACTCAACCCCTTATCTGAACTGCTAGATAGTACAAATATAGGATTTAAATTAAGATGCAATAACTCATTCCACATACTCTCACACTTACTTTACATGGACGATATTAAAATTTATGCAACTAATAACACTGAACTTAATAAACTAACTGACATTACACAATCATTCTCGACAGATATTCATATGCAATTCGGGGTAGACAAATGTAAAACTCACTCAATCAACCGCGGCAAGACAGAATACAATTTTTATACACTTGATACAGGTGAACAAATAGAACCAATGGATGAACATACGACGTATAAATATTTAGGATTCCGCCAGTCTAGACAGATTCAGCAAAAACAGACAAAATTAGAGTTAACACAGAAATTCAAAGCCAGAATAAGTCAGATTTTGAGAACCCAATTAAACTCACGCAATACCATCAAAGCCATCAACACGTATGCAATACCAGTTCTTATTTATTCGTTTGGGATTTTAGCCTGGTCCCAGAGCGATCTCATTAAATTACAGCGCACAATCAACACACACATGACAACCAATAGGAAACATCACCCCAGATCGTGCACACAACGTCTTACATTACCACGGCAAGATGGAGGGAGAGGTCTCATCGACATACAGAATCTACACAACAATCTTATAGATAAGTTACGCAAATATTTTTACGCCCAAGCCGGACAATCAAATCTTCATAAATTCTTAACCGATATAGACAAAAAATTAACTCCGCTCAACTTAAACGACACAAACATTCAACCAAAATTATTGAGCAAACAGCAGAAAATAGACTTATGGGCACAAAAGTCTCTACACGGCAGACATCTCGCCGATCTCAGCCAAACACACGTCGATAGAAAAGCGTCGAACGAGTGGCTGCGGCGCGGAGAACTCTTCCCAGAAACCGAGGCTTTTGTGATCGCTATTCAGGATCAGGTTATCGATACTCTTAACTACAAAAAACACATAATCCGTACCCCTAACCTTCCTACCGACTTATGTAGACGATGCCATAGCAGTTCCGAAACCATCCAACACATCACTGGTTCTTGTAAATCTATTGTACAAACTGATTATAAACACAGACATGACCAAGTTGCAGCAATAATCCATCAAAATCTAGCTCACAAATACTCATTTATTTCAAATAAAACTGCTTATTATAAATATAAACCCAGTACAGTTCTAGAAAATAATGCATTTAAAATATATTGGGATAGGACAATAATTACCGACAAAACCATACATTATAATAGACCGGATATAACAATACTAGACAAAACTAACAAAATAGTTTTTATTATAGACATAGCAGTATGTAACACACACAATCTCCTCACGACGCACACAGAAAAGATGACTAAATACACAGACTTAGCAACGGAAATAAAAAGGCAATGGCAGGTAGATAGAGTTAAAATAGTACCGATTGTCATATCTACAACTGGTGTAGTACCGAAGATTCTTCAAGATAGCCTCAACACATTGGAAATGCCGAAATCCTCTCTCATACTCTTACAAAAAGCAGTCCTTCTTAACACATGCCGTCTCACACGCAAATTTCTCGCTTCATCCTCATCATCTTAACTTCATACCATCATCCCTTTTTGGCACACTTGGCTAAGGCCCGTGTGTTAGATTTTGTTACCCCTTTCAAATAAAAGGGAGACCAGACAAGGTATAAAATGACATAATAATAATAATAATCATTTATTTGCATGAATATGAGTACAGGGTTGGACAATTCAATTAACAAAGGTTCATCATATCCTGCCGGGTGGGCGTGCAAAACTTTTCGTCAGAAACTGATACCTACAGACCATGCAATACATAAATTAATGACAATCAGTTTTATTGGTCAAATATCAGGCAATTACAATAACAATAATTAAGTGGTCAAATAAATGTGTTAAGTCAAATTATTGATAATATGGAAATGTCACCGTCAAAGCACAGTAGTATCACGGTCATTTAAAAACTCATCAATCGTGTAAAAACATTTATTAATGAGATATTTTTTAAAGTGAACTTTAAATAAATGTAGATGGAGTTCTCTTATGGCCCCAGGTATTCTGTTGTAAATTCTAGGTGCCATGCAAAAAATACTCTTGCTCATTAGTGCAGTTTGAGCCTTTCGCACGCATCATTATCTCGTCTGTTCCGTATCGTTTTGTCTTGAAGACGTTTAAATATATTAGGATTAGACTTAACGAAGACTGCTGTTTCAAATATATAAAGTGCCGGAACAGTCAAGATACTGTTGTCTCTAAAAAATGGTCTACAGCTGTCAAGTGTTTGTAGTCCAAATATCGCTCTTATTACTCTTTTTTGAGATTTAAAGACGAGTTCTCTATACGTTGAGTTACCCCAAAATATAATGCCAAATCTTAAGATTGATCCTACCATACCGTGATACGCTGTTAGTAGAGCATGTTTATTTAAAACCGGAGCCAGTTTGAATAGGGCATATGACGCAGAACTGATTCGCTTGGAGAGTTCTTCCGTATGAACTTTCCAATTTAAGCGTTTATCTATTGTGAGCCCTAGGAATTTAGTTGTATCTACATTGCTTAATGTGTTGTTTTCATGGTGTACATTAACATATGGCATCAGAGTACGTTGACCAAAGAACATTACTTTAGTTTTTTTAATATTTATTTTTAGGTTATTACTGTTTAGGTAATTTATGATACACGTAATAGTCTCATTAATGTCGCTCTCGTAAGTGTGTTCATTTTTACAATTTACGATAACAGTACTGTCGTCAGCAAAAAGTGTCATAGGATATTTAGATGCTCGTGGCAAGTCATTTATATATAGCAGAAACAATAAAGGACCTAACACGCTCCCCTGTGGCACTCCAAACATAGGAGAGCGATATTCCGATGAGTATGTAACTTCCCGTTTTTTAATTCTGTCTATTTTTGTGATTTCGGTATATTGTAGTCTATTTTCCAAATATGATTTTATCAATTGGAGTGCATTTCCCCGTATACCGTAAACCTCCAATTTTTTTTGTAATATGTTGTGGTCCACGTAGTCAAACGCCTGTGATATATCGCAAAATATTGCACAGATAGCCTTTTTATTGTCAACATTGGTCATGACGTCATGCATAAAGTCAAAGATTGCCAAGTTAATGGTTTTGTTCTTTCTAAATCCCTTTTGGGCGTCAGTAAGTATCTTAAATTTGTCTAAATAATCGTAGATTTGTGCATAAAGATATTTTTCAATTATTTTAGAGAATATGGATATAAGTGCAATCGGCCGATAACAATCAAGGTCTTCTTTGTTGCCATTTTTAAAAATAGGTTTCATTATTGAAATCTTTAGATCTTTAGATATGTTTGTATGTTTGTAACAGACTCCTTTGGGCGTGATTTTGAGTGACTTTAAACGGTCAGAATTCGTTCAAACTTTGTAGATATATCGAGGACCGATGACAATACACTAATTAAAAAAAAAAAAAAAATATATAGTTTTAAGAAACTAAAAAACACGCTTTCTGTAGAAAACCAAACTAAAAAATAGAAAATAAATTTGAAAAAAAAGCGTTGGGTGCCTGTCAATAGTAAAAAGCACCCTCCTATAGAAAGCGTGTTTTTTAGGTTTTTAAAACTATTTTTTTTTGTTGTTTCTCGAGCTTTGAAATGGAAACAGAATTTCGGAATGGAATGGAAAAACAAATGGAAGACTTATATTTTTAATGGAAGTGTTAAACCTCTGAGCCTCTCTTCTAACATGTTTGTTCTTAATGATTAACACGCCTTAGTGTAGAAAATGATCTCTCTAAAAGGCTGCTTGAAACTGTTTTTATTTTCGTAAATTTTAATTAAATTCAATTAGACGTGTACAATTGTGGAAGGATGTCATGTTACCCGTGATCCCCCCCCCCCCCTCCCTTTTTCTGACGCGCCTGAGTGGGAGAGCCATGTTTGGTCACATAAGCACCATACTCTCACAGATTGCTGGAAAACGAAAGAAAAGTATGAACCATCTAAATTAGAAAAGTATTAGCCATTACTTATAATTCTTATCACGCTACGAGCGCCCGTCGACCGCCCTCTCCCGGTCCCCGCCCTCTCCCGGTCCCCGCTCTCGTCCTCAAGGACTCAATTCAGCGGTTTATCTTCAAAAGGATATGTGATTGAGGGATTTAGGAATAAATAAAAAAAAAAACAAAATAGTCGTAAAATTGTAATGATATGTTTTAGGTACATGCCTTTTTACATAGATTATCTTGACTTTTTTTTTAAATTCATGGTCACCATCGATTACCGATGAGTTTACAAAGTAACAATACTATTACATAATACAAAGTACTGCAGCTATAAAAATCCTCAATATCACAATAAAAATACTTATCTTATGGTACTTATCTTAAATTATAAAATATATTATCACATAGAAAACTCATAAAACAAATAATACAAAACCACTTACATAAGTGGTTTTGTATTTTATTTAAAATGTCAAAATTACGCTTCGTTTTACGCTAAAACTGAAATCCAATTCTGTCTTTATATGAAGGAGTAAAATAATAAAAAAGTATGTGTATGTAAGTTACAAGTTTTTTTTTAAATATTTTAACATCTCTTTTTACACTACAATTCAATATAGCTGGCGTAGTAAAACTGGGCCAATTAGCCTAGGTACTTCATAATTATGACTACGATAATGTGATGCTTCCTTTAAGCTACTCACTTTAGTTTTTAACTTATTTTAACAAAACAAAAGCAAAATTCATAACACGCTATAGGTACTAGAAATCACAATTTTATTAAGTTCTTAAATAACATGGGAAACAAAATACAGTGATTTTAAAAAATAAGATATTACATAGTATATATTTTATAAAGTTAAGATAAATTACAAAACAATACTTAATAATAATAATAATTTCGAATGGAAGCCAATTTCTAGAAAATAATATAATTATTTAAAAAAATGCTAGAATTTAGAATATTTTTTTTTAAGTCTGTTACGAATCATAAAAATAACGCTCAAATAAACAATTATTATAAATATTAATTATGAAAATAATAAAATAAACGTCTTATGACAAAGGTATAGAAACGTTGAATTTTATAAATACTGTAGTAATTTCAATTTGTTCTAAGGCAACACTGTTTTTAATGCTGATCACCCCAGCGTTAGAACTTGTATTACAACGAGGCGTAGTAAGTATTGGTAAAAATCTCTTTAAAATATTTGACTGTCAAGTAAAAATATTTTTTTTTTACTTTGTCAACACAGGACTTGAATTTGAAATATGCCGTCAGACGTCATATGTTGACATTTCAAAATATATATATTTTAACCATAACCATAACAATAACACAACTATTTTCTTGTTGTTGAAAAAATAAACTGAATGATAATTTTTGTTTTTTGTAAGAAAGGAAAGAAACTTTTTCAAACTGTATTAAAACTAACATATAATAAATTACTAACACATTCACTACCAAGTGACTGACACAAAAGAAAAAAAAATACCACAAAAAAATTTCGTCAAAAAGGTCAAAAAAATTTAAAAATATATAAATCATAATTAAAGTAAATGTAAGTTTTATTTTATGATATTCCATTTTTTTTAACGCTATGAATGTCAAACCTATTTCGGGACGGATAAGTCGTATTTTTACGCAAACATAAGTACATATTGCCAGAATTATCACAAAAATGTATTAAGCATACGTTTAGAAATTGTTATATCTGTCCACCCAGTATGTCACAATATAGAGTTTGAAATATTAATGTTCTAATATACATTTAATCTAAAATATAATAAATAATTTTTAAACGTATTCATAATACTAACTCACTTAACAGAGTTGTCATGATTATAACCTATTTACAGTATAATGACGTCACACATCTGTAAACAACTAAATTTTGGTATCATACAACAACATCATTTTAGAACTTCAAAGTTAATCTTACGGAGGCAAAGTCTTTTAAGAATTTATGCTAATGCCATTCTAATACACAATGACACATCAGTAGGTAGAAATTGGCGACTACGAGGTGTCCCAACATGATGGGGAAGCCGATTTTGAAGAATTGCATAAAGGTGAACCGGTAGCCGTGCTGTTCTGCAACTCCTGCGCATACCACGTTAGCGCTGGCGCCAATCAAAGTGCCGTTACCTGGAATACATTTATTTTATTTTTAATAAAAGACAACTCCCGCACTGGGCATATATCATGTATCGCAGGGGACTTTACAAATATACATGAAACGGACACAAAGAACACCGTGCAGTCGAAATTGGGTGGATGGAAGGATAATTGCTAGATAAATCTTAACTTCGACTGCACGGATGGCGAAGTGGTTTAAACGGCCACCACGCCGCTCCCTTCTACGCTGAGTGTTGTGAGTTCGATCCCCACATGGGACGACACTTTGTGTGATCCACAAATTGTTGTTCTGAGTCTGGGTGTTCTTTCTGTCCGTTTCATGTATGTTTGGACCAGAGGTAAATGACAACGCCACCCAAAGACACCTGTAACTTAGAGCAACAATTAGGTTGCTGCCCTTTGCCTAATGCTGGTCTTAATAGACGCAGAGGTAGTGTAGGACTGCTAAGCACATTCTGCTAAATTCAATTCACGTCACATGGGGGAAGTCTATTGTAATCAGCTAGGCGCTTTGGGAATTAAAGATTAGGATGGGGGAGTTAAGATTTTAGAGATATTAACTATCAGATACAGGCTCCCATATTACCTGTAAATTGAACTGGCTGTTACCAGGAAATCGTTTTTTACACATTAGTATCGTCATATACCTTTAATAACAAGGAAATTGGCGGGCCCGTTGGTTTGTAACCCTGACTGCAGTACCGGAGGTCGTGGGTTCGATTTCCACCCAAGACAAATATTTGTGTGATGAGCACGATCATTTGTTCTATGTCTGGGTGTAATTTATCTTTAATATGTATGTATTTAGCATTATATAAGTATGTTTATCATCAGTCTGGTTACCATAGTACAAAGTCTGTCGAGTTTGGAATCAGACTACCGTGTGTGAAATGTGTAAGGTTATAATTATTATTAATTAATTAAAATAAGATATTAGGATGGCTCAAAGGGCGGCAACCTACTTGTGAGTCTTAAGCTGTAGTGTCTTTGGGCGGCGGTAGTCACTTACCATCAGGTGACCAGACTAAAAACCAACAACATCTATTTGAGGATCCCACTGCTAAAATACATCTTACCTCCCAAACAGGCCCCAAACGACAGCGACCAAATCAACGGCATCATTGGTAGGTTCAGAGTTGGGTTGTTGCCAAGCGACGTGACCACTCTGACCATCATCGTAGTCAGTGGTATGTTGTCCACGAATGCTGAAGTGATTCCTGAAACCTAGTAGGAGAAAATAGAATTAGATCGATTGCTCTTTTCAGAAATTGCCAGCTTTTTAACCAGGATTATATTGGAAACCTTTCTAAGGAGAGGCCTGGACTATTAAAGTCACTGGACTATTAAAGGCTGTTGATGTGATGTGATATTGGCAATTTTTGGAACGTAAGGACGGTGGTCAGACAATGAGGATTTTGCCTTTAATCCTGATACAGTTACATGCTGAAAAATTTGGATGGCTTTTGGAAAAACATTGATATTTGGGTATTGGCCAAAATATTCAATACTGGACTAGTTGACCCGCGCAATTGTATCTGGGTCTCTCGAAAGGAATAAATTAGCCCCGTTTTTGCAACATTTTTCATTGATGCTCGACTCTTATTGGTCATAGCGTGATGTTATATAGCCTTCCTTGATAAATGTGCTGTCCAATACTAAAATTATTTTTCCAGTAGTTTCTGAGATTAGCGCATTCAACCAAATAAAGAAACAAACAAACTATTTAACTTTGTAACATTAGCATTTACTTGATGATTTCATGACTGACCGTTGGTGTTACATACCCACAGCATTAATGTGATAGCGACAGCCAGCCTGGCACTCTCATCCACTTGGAATATCACATGCTCAGTGAGGCCTCCGATGAACTCGATCAGTCCCAATTTCGATAGTGCCTGCAAAATTTACTCTTCCAGATTATTTAGAAAATGTATATCTCTTGGCATTAAAGGCCACAGTCTCCACGGTATGACCTACCTACTTCCAAAGTAGGAGGATTCGTAATTGGTGGAACAGTCGGGTAAAATCCGTTAGGCAGAAATAGTACTTTAGTCGTACATCACGATTTTACATAGAACAGGAGATTTGAATGTGTTATAACATAAGATTGAACAGTTTTGTATACACATACACACATTTTTGCATACTACGATCACTTTATTATTGTGATGCTTTTTGTATTGGTGTTTTTGTTCTAAGTGTATTTGCATTTTGTGACAATGTGTAACAGTTATTTTTTTGTGCATTTGTAATGCGTACGGTCTTGTTAAAAGCTACATCTATTAGCCGCGTTGCATTGTTGTTGATTTATCTAAGGTAGTTTATAACTACAGTTTTGATCTTCTGGGTTCACTGATGTTAAATGTCAAAGTAAAATGTTGAAGAGGGGTTATTTTCTGGAAGCTTCGTTAACCGAAGATATATAAGTCCGGCTTTCTAAAACGAGAGACACTCTGCTATCTCGTGTCTTTCAACCTTAAATAGTGTTTTGATTGATAATTAGAGTAATTTGAATTTCGTAATATGTAGTCTGTTTAAATCTACCCACTAAAGTGGTAAGTATTGTCTAAATTCTTCTTAAACCTATTTGTTTCTGGAACCTGATTAATTATATGAGTGCTAATCCATTCGTAGGGTCCCAGATTTCGGGGTCAAGACGGTCAGTCTCAGACGGCGTGCTTGCTCTTTTGTGGCCTTCTGGTACAGACTCAAGTTTCTCGGTACCCTCTGGCAAAGCTGGTGATTGCGTGGCTCACTACGCAAGCGGACAGCCGTACCCAAGAGTTACGTACTTAAACTTATAATTGCAAATTGTTAAACTTTTATCCATATCTAATATAAATAGCCGACTCGGGCGGAAGAGGAAGTAACCTCCTGGAGGGACGACGAGGAGGCACCGAGCACCATCAGCTCGGCTCTAACGGTTTTTTTTTTCTTTTTCTTGTACCCACACTGTTTAATTTATTTAATTTCTTATTGTAAATTTGATCTACTTTTTTTGAAATATACATGTATGTATAACTGAGGTGTAAGTTGTTTTCCTCTAAAGAGTCCCATAGGTTTCCCACACGCACACACTTCTATTCTCATACAAGGCGCCCTGAGGTAATCTCTTGAATCTCTCCACTGGGTCAGCCGGTGAGTAGTCCGCCAGAGAGGAAAAGCGGCTACAAATGTAAGTAACATATGACGAAGTCTATCTAAGGTAGAACTCAAAGCAATTTATATTGCATCTCTATGTACATGAATTGTATCAGCTAAACAAATAAATAATATAAAAACACACTTATAAATACGCTTTCACGCTCTCACTACAAGGCCGCCAACAACCATGCACTGAGTAATCTAAGATATTCTCGAAGCCTTCGCAAAAATTAAGTTTTCGTTCTTAAAATAAAGAAAAAGTTTACAAGGTAGATATTCCACTTTGATGAGATCTCCCGTTTGGAATGCCAAAAAACAAATTACTTACTTCCATGAGTACGAAGAGTGCTGCAAAGAACAGTAGAGTAGACCACTCGATCCTGTGCAACACTGGTTCCAGGTCCTCGCGGTCAGCGAGCACCAACAGCAGCAGGGCGCCCAGAAGCGCTGTCCAGCCTAAGGACACGCGGTCTAGACACAGAGAAAAATTTAGTTTTATGCATCTAAGTTAGGATGAAGAAGCCCACCTAGCTAGTCTAGTCCATCTGGAAATACTACTGAAAAAAAGATAGCTGGAATAGACTGAATGCGAAAGTTTGAGGTGTTTGGTTCTGGTAAAGATTAGAATTCCGAGTGGTGACGGATTAAGAATACGGAGTGTCACCACCCCTATTCGTCCCGTAGGTGTCGTAAGGGAGCAAAACTACGAGTATGCAGGACAATAGGAAAACACAAACTCTATACCAAGTCGTCTGGCGTGCGTGGTATAGTAGGCTAAAACCTTCTTTCTAAAGAGAGGCCTATGTCTAGCTGTGAACGATTAAAAATTGTTGATGTGATGTGATGTTGATATGAGATTAGAAGAGATCCTATGTCTTGGAGTTGACAGCAATAGTCTTGGTAAATTGGGCTAGGTGGAAAAGATTTACAAGCCTTTTCTAATGAAGTATTTATAAATACATACTAGCAAGACCTGCCACTAGTTCTTACTACCACACCAGACTTGCAAAATGATTCCAGATACTTACTAAACTCAGGTATGGAGTGCAAGAAGAAAACAAGAACGACGAACACAGTAGCCACAGATGCTTTCACCAGGAGCATCTTGTCTCTTATCATGTACTGAAAATAAAGAAAAAAAAAGATATTATTGATTTTGACGAGATACGGTTATTCCCCCTTTTTTTTCCGTGCGGAAAACCCCCTCGGATACCACCTATCAGTGGCATGTCGGACACGAACCGACTAAAACCGCACGCCGTCTCGGGTACTAATGGCCGGGGAACCAGGTATACCCTAGAAAGGAAGACAGTTATTCCCCTGTACTAAACATGTATTTAGTAATTCATCATTTTAATTCACATCACATCACATCATCAACAGCCTATAATAGTCCACTGCTGGACATGGCCTCTCCTTAGAAAGGAGATTTTGGCCTACTATACCACGCTGGCCAGACGGGTTGGTATAGGGTTTATGTCAAGTTTTCCTTCTCTTTGCAGTGCTGTTGTCCTGCGTAGTTTGCCCTTAGTCGGCTCTTACGACACCCACGGGATGAATAGGGGTGGTGACATTCCGTATTCTTTCATTTTAATTATCTACTGATAATGGTACTGTGGCGACTCCCACATACAAAGAAACAGAAACATACTACAGCGCCATCTAATGAAGACACACCGAACTACGGAGTAACTACTAAAATAAGAATTGCTAATCCTGTATCGCGATATAAAGAATTCCCTCGCCGATTAGCATATATACAACTTCCCAACATCAACCGTTGGGCCGCGGCCCGCCAGGCATATCACCTCGCGTGGTCGGAGGATCCTCCCTTTGTGTTGGAGGGACATGACACCCGTTCCTCCACAGTACTATTATAAGTTGTCTAATATTTGCTGACTTGCTGACAGAAGGTCGAAACTTTTTCAAACAAAGCAAATCTTGCCAAAGAAGGACAAAATTAATCTAGAAGTGGGTTTTAGTAGAACCATGACAATAACACACACATCTTTTTGTCACAAGAACTGGTTCTGCGTCGTGTGTGAGATATGTCAAGGAGAACAGGGATTCTTTACCTTGGTCTTCATATCAGCCAGCATAGTCTCAAAGCAGTCTTTAGGACACGCTCTGCGCCGAGACTCCAATACAAGGGCATCCAGTCTCGCGGTGAGCTTCCTCACTTTGCGCTCGAGCCGTTCTCGAACCACCAGCTCGTCACGAGATAGATGCGGAAGGGAATCTGCTGCACGACGCCAGATTGAGATCTGGTGGCGAAGGTCTGTAAAACGAGACTTGAATCAGATGTGATGTGATTTATGAAACGTTTAATAAACTCTGGATTATATTTGCATATGCTATGCAAATATTGCATGAACGCGCCCCATTACTTCGACACACAGAGATAAATATATTTAAAATGTCCTAAGTAAAATGAAACAACAATAGTGTTTTAGTCCCAGTTTCTGTCGGTTTTTTTGCTAGCCACCAATTCCAGCTTTAAAAATAAAGTTTTATTTTTAATCAGGAATCTCTGTTGAGTATTATTGGTTTTTGTTTTAATTTATTATTGTTCATTAAGAACTTTTTTTTTGTAATACAAACGAGCCGTTTTATATTATATTTCACACACATCTCATACACGGTTGTCTGATTCCAAACTAGGCAGTCACTATGGTAACCAGACTGCTGATAAACATACTTATATATTTCTAAATACATACATATTATAGATAAAGTACACCCAGACACAGAACAAATGATCATGCTCATCACACAATTATTTGTCCTGGGTGGGAATCGAACCCACGACCTTTGGCATAGCTGTCAGGGTCACTAACCATTAGACCAACAAGCCAGTTGGGTCGACACCTGCAGCTCAAGAGACACAAGAGAGTTGCTACCCTCTATGTCCCCCTCCCCCACGAACCAGGAGGGAAGGGTGGGATTGGGTCTCCGATACGTCATTCATTCAGTGAAGAGCTACGAAAGGATTACTTAACACCAGTTTTCTGTAAGGCCAGCCACGTTTCAATGACACCAAATTCTTAACAGTGAAATTGGTTAATTTGTTGAGTTTGAGGTTTCAAACAGTAATTATCATGACGTGTTCTCTGTAAGCATCATACTCTAAGTCGCATGCCGAAAGAGAATGTAATAAATGGTTATATACAAATACACACACGTATACAAAACACACATATACAATACATCGTACAAGAAAAATCCAGTACCAAATATTGCTCAGTGTAAGATTTTAGCTCCACTCAATTTTTATGTTCTACAATTATTTATACTACTTTCCTAGTACCTCAAGTGTGTCACTAGCCGTTAACCGTAAAAAAAAATAACCCGGAAAGTTCTAAACATAATTATTGCACAAAAAATATTCCGTTTTTGGACAACAGGAATGTATATTCTGTTACTCCCTTGCCCGGGAGGTTTTTACATGATTAAGAATCCTCCTTTTGTATACAAATCTAATTGCCATTGTACTTTGAATTATATGTACATCAGAATAGAGATACGTCGGTATACATTGAAAATAGAGACACTGTGAAGTATGGCGGAAAGAAAGAATAAAACTAAAATATCGAAAATTTTCGGGTAGATGAAGAAACTTCTACTGACGATGACTTAACTTGTGACATTGCAAACCTGGTCGAATTATCAGGAGACTGCATTAATTGCCAAACATCATATATTTTTTTAATATACACAAAAAATATACTCGTAATAATAATAAAAAGCGAAAAGCAATAACCTAAATGACACTTACCCTTTTTTTTTTCCGTGCGGAAATCCCCTCGGATACCACCTGTCGGTGGCATGTCGGACTCGAACCGACTAAAACCGCACGCCGTCTCAGGTACTAATAGCCGGGGAACCAGGTATACCCTAGAAAGGAAGTCCCTAATGACACTTACCCTGAATTTCTCTTGGTTCATTCGTCCGCAGCTTATTCACGTCTCTGTAGATGAACCGGAATTGGAAGTAAGTCTGGACACACACTAGAAGGATGCCCAGAGTCATATGTAATGTGAAATTTGTGAAGTTTATTCCCTGGTGAAGAAGAAAATATGAAAATATAATTCGTTTTCACCGAACATGTTTCAGTGCAACATGGACACAATACCATTAAGGGGCTATTGCCGTCAAAAGGGCGCTTTTGCGGTTAGATAAAAAAATGGGATATACTCGTATTTTGAATATATATAAATCTTTTGCCAAATATTTTCACTAACTGAAATCACGAAACGTAATAAAAACGGATGACTGCACGGATGGCGTAGTGGTTTAAGTGGGCGCCACGCCGCTTCCTACTACGCCGAGTGTTGTGGGTTGTGATCCACAAATTGTTGTTCTGAGTCTGGGTGTTCTTTGTGTCCGTTTCGTGTATGTTTTCAAAGTCCCCCGCGACTCAGGAATATATTCCAAATGAGGGCGTTGTCTTTTAAAAAACAAAATTATGCAACTGATTGTTATACATAATTTGTTTAAACTTTTATAGAATATTTTAAATGGAATACGAACCCGAGATATTGAATAGGTAAAATATAGTTAAATGTCTGAAAATCTCTCTAAAATAATTAAATAAATAAATAGGCAAGTACTATTTTTACGACCGCGATCGTTTTTGTGACAACCCTTGCACATTTTTAGTGGAGACCGTCTTGTAGGTTGTCCTTTCTAAGGAGAGGCCTATGTCCAGCAGTGGACTGTTAAAGGTGATGATGATGATGATGAGTCTTGTAGGTATTTAGCGGTCTATCAAAGGAGTTGACTCACTATTAGTATTTGTTACAGATATGGCGTTGCAAAAGTTTTGGATATCAAAGAAACCAGCCATCTTGTATGGCGTTAATCTTCCTTGGAAATATAGTCGTGCTGAGACAGGATAAAGGAAGAAAAAAATGGGTCAAGGAAATCACACAAAGGGCGAAGTAGCTAGGGTATATTGCAAATCATGAAAATACTCACAGCTTGAATAACAGCTTTGTTGGAAGCTATGATGACGTTAGGGGGATCCCCTACAGGAGTGGCGGTGCCCCCTATATTGCTGTACAACACCATCGACATCAGCACTGGGATGGGGTCCAGGTCCATTACTTCACAGAGTCTACACAGAACAACATTAATTTGTTTAAAGTATTGTTTATCATGGGTTTTCTGTGAAGCCGTGGTATCACTCCGGTCGAGCCAGCATATATTTGTTGAAGCCGAAGCATGACTCTCCCACGGAAAGGTGTCAGTGTGATGCATTTTTTTTATACATATATATAGAAAAAAGATATTTATGTTGACTTGATTATGTTAGGATAAACACTTACCTTATAGTAACTGGTGTCATTAATAATACTGTTGTGACATTATCCAAGAAGGTGGACAGGATAGCTGTAATCGCGCTCAGTAGGGTGATTAGGGGCCAAATTTTTCCTTTTGTTACCTGTAATAAAAACATACATACATACACACGCATTTATCAGAGCCTTGTAAGTAGGAGACTTGTTATAATAATAAATGAAATATTTATTTGACATCAAGGAGTATATTCACAAGAACAGAACAGAAACATGATACTAAAAAAAACCGTACTAAAAATTTCGTGATTCCAGGTCAACGGGAACTACCACATAGGTTTTCGACCTAAAACCTATAGGGTACTTCCGGTTGACCTAGGATTGTCAATTTGGGTTAAAAGCAAGAGCACAAGTAAAGAGAAAATTCTGAAAAAAAAAGTTGAAAATTAAGGTAAATTTTGGTACTTACAAGTTTTCGTGAAAATCGAAATTTTGCCCATATCTTTTTATCGTGTTGACTCAGGACTTGATTTTTATACACCTAATAATTACAACTTGCTAGGTCTACCCGTTCCTGAGAAAATCGGTGGTGACAGATGGACAAGAAAGTGATCTTATAAGGGTTTCCTTTTTTACCTTTTGAGGTACGGCACCCTAATTATTTTGGAAGGCTTTTAGAAGACAGTGTTTAATCGTGAAATGATGAGACACTGGTATCCTAAGAGATGAATGTTACCAAGTTTCTATTTAAATTAAGTTAAGGTAAGTATAATATAATACTTACTTCAAAAGTGAAAACAGCTAAGAAATCAAATAACCCAGTCTCAGACATGATAGCGACTATCAGCATCATACTGAACAGCAACAAGAGTGTCTCCACGTCCAGCCAGGAGATCACTTCCTCTAGAGACGGCCTTTCACCAGCTAAAGCTAGTACTGCCAAGGAAGCTGTGGATACAATCACTGCCGCCATGGTCCGGTTGATCAGCTGTTGGCAGGAGAATATAAAACTAATTTAAAGTTATTTATTGGAGAAAACAAAAACCTAACTCGTTTTTAGAAATTTCACATCATCATCATCATCGTCACATCATCATCAACAGCCTTTAATAGTCCACTACTGGACATAGGCCTCTTCTTAGAAAGGACGTTTGGCCTACTATACCACGCTGGCTTCTGGGGTTGGCATAGGGCTTGTGTCAAGTTTTCCTTCTCTCTGTAGTGCTGTTGTTCTGCGTAGTTTCACCTATAGTCGGCTCTTGCGACACCCATGGGATGATAGGGGTGATGACACTCTATATTCTTAATCCGTCACCACACGGACCCAAAGAAAATTCACAAACATTCTAGAAAATTCGCAATTCACATTAGAAAATTCACAAACCTAATATTATTTAATATCTTTTTTGGCATTTTTCGTTCCAAATAACATTAAAATATATGTAGTAGATATTTATGAAACTCTATATTTTGGTATCCCATTGGATGGATTTTGAAGACTATAAATTAAATTAATTTAAAATAATTACTATTACTACAAGTAATAGTTAAAAAAGCGTGTTTTATTTTTATTTTTAAACTTATTTATTTTTGTTTTTTAGTCTTAACTTTTGTTTTTTTTTTTTTCATTAAAGACTAAGAAAGTAACAAGTAAGTAAATTACATATGCTACAGCCTTAGGACGTAGCACAAAATACTATTATATTTTTAGATATCCATATCCTGAAGATCCTGATCAGGATTTTGGCGAAATTTATAAAATTATTGTATTGCCATCGGTCTTTGACAAGTGCTTCCTTTCAAAATTTTGAGTTAGATTGAACCTTTTAAAGTGGTTAAAATCGAGTTTAAAGTTTCTTTACATTAATACATACAGGTAAAGCTATTAAAATATACGGCTTTTCTACCGTGTTTATTTTGAAAAGGGATGTTCGATGACCCTTCAATCCTTGAAAGCAATAATAATTAAAAAGGAAAGAAAGCATTAAACATCCAACATTGAATGTTTATTTATATCGTATTATGACCGAAAGTTGAATCGGTATTCTGCTAGTCTTAGTAATACTTTACTACGAGAATACCTTTTATGACTTGATTAGAACGACGAGATAAGATTGAATTGATTGGAACTTAATTTTAAAAGAATGTTTATTTAGAGAGCTTTTGGCAGAGAAACATGTACTAGTACACCGCCTGACGGTAAGTGGTTATCCTATGAAGACTCGCGACTGTTTTATCATACTGTATGCGCTTATCTAGACTATCGATTGATTTCTATTGATACTTCCCTCCACCTTTTTTTTTTCTGTGAGAATTCTGTGTTTCTGTATTAAAACAGTGGAGTATTTCGGACTCGAACCGACCAAAAACCGCACGCCGTCTCCAGGTACCAGTAGCCGGGGAACCAGGTATACCCTAGTAAGGAAAGCCCTGGTACCCCGTCGTACCTCGGGCCATCTACGGCTTATAGATGACCCCTCCTGTGTGGGAACCCGGCTGTTCCCTTCCTGCCTACGAAGGGACTTCCGTCTACCTAAAACAATAGCATTATGCTTCTCACTTTCAAGTTGAGCACGTCAATAGAAGGAATCTGCTTACTGTACCTCTTCTAATTGAATCCCTTTTATTTTTAACAACAACGAAATTGAGTGTTAACTTGCGCATAATTCGGCAACATTACTTACTAAACTTTAAATTTAAATACGAAATGCCGTAACGTACAGGTTTTATTATTCCATAGTGTGGGAATCGAACCCACAACAGGTTGAAACGAAGGTTGTGTGCGCTCTATAGGCAAGCTTTAATCGATACAAACAAAGCTACAATAAAACTATTGGTAGAAATTTGGAAATGTTTATTTTTCCATTCTAGAAAATACACATTTAATACACGACTTCTTAGGCTGAGAAAACAAAATTACTAAAGTATTATCAACATCAGAACTATAAAAAAAAACTAATTAGAAAAAATAAACATTGTGTAAATACAGCTGTCACCTTTATTTTGAAGACACACAAGGCAGTAATACTATATTTGTTTTGTTTACTTGCAAATGGTTTTATATTAGCCTAAATTCTACTAATTAAAAGAGAGCTCCCAATCTCAATTTTAATTATTTAAAAATGCAATTAATATTTAAAGATTTATAATAGTGAGGTCTGAATATATATAGATAGCTAGGTACCCTTTATTGCACACCATGGATAGAAAACATACAATGTAGAATACAAACACAAAAAACGCAGTCTGCAATCTCTTACCGACGAACTTTAGATGGACTATACTGTACAGCAATATGTAGTTTGTGGTGAGCATTTAGAGTCTAAATTAATTATGAGCATAACATGATATAGTCCTACATTTTTTTTTAAAAGGCAACTCCCGCTTTAGGAATATATCCTGTGTCGCGGGGGACTTTACAAAAATACATGAAACACAACGCGCATCCAGACTCAGAACAACAATTTGTGGATCACACAAAGTGTCGTCCCATGTGTGGATCGGACCCACAACACTCAGCGACCGCTTAAACCACTAGGCCATCTGTGCTGTGCATCAAGATATAATTTCTTGGATTGAGTAACAATGTTAGGACTTTAAGCAAACCGTAAATAAATACAAAATATCGCTATATTGTCTATTTATTTTATTCTACAACGATTATGCTAAAATGACCACACTATCGTTGGCATATCATTGCCAGTAAAAAAAAAATTTTTTTCAAGAGTGATATCGAAGCCATGAATTTTTTTTTTTCAAAACCTATATTTATATGTATATATAACACTATTGTTGGTTTAAAATCAACTAAAACATTATTTGAAATCGAAGTTAAAACAGTTATTTTTTTAAATACTAAACTAAATACCCAGCGACCGCGTACCTCAGTTAGCAACGCATATAGGCGTAATAATAAAAGCACTACTATATTGAAAACAGAATAACCAAAATGCATTTTACTAAAAGTAATGAGATCCAAGAGGCGACTGATGCCAATCTATTCGATCGTTAATACCAATGTTGGAACTAGTTTTGGGTAGGAATCATTTTTAATTAATATTCATTTAACTGGGCAGTTTTAGATGTGACTGGTCACCGGAGTAACAGCTGTTAACTATCTCAAAAAGAGACACACGAGGCGCAGTGATAATCTGTTCAAATAAAAAAAGAAAATTAAACTTCCAAAAGCTTTCTAATTCTGTCACATTTAGCATCGATTTGATGAAAACCAATCGATATTTTTGATGTGCGTCAAATCGGTTGTTGGTGTGGCGACGCGTCAAAGTATAGTGTATATGAGAGTAACGTGTTACGCGTCGCCATGCACAAGTGACTCTGCGACTCTCATTATTTCTACGAAATAATTTCAATGTTTCACAACTGTCAAAAGTCCCGCGACGATTTAACTTTTAATAATATCCTGGGACATTATGAAACTCCTAATTTAGACTGTAATTCTATGTATTGGAACCCACATCCATGATTCTCCAGTATCAGGATCACCACTACACGAACAGAGTAATAATAATATTTTCAGACATTGACACACAACGCCATCTAGTTCCAATCTGTTCCATCTAGATTGACTAATAGAATACTTACATGCTTTTTTTCTTTAAATACATACATACATATACGTATACATAGAAAACACCCAAACTCCGAAACAAATTTTTGCAGATAATACAAACATTTGGGCCGACCCGCTAATTAAACCCGAGACCTCAGCACAGCAATCGAATACGCTATCACTGCACCCGCCAAGGAAGAAAGGATAGAGAGACTTAAAAAACTCACCTCAAAAATGATGAGTGCGTACAACGCACACAGCAGGATACAAGACTGTATCACCCCAGTAGACATATCTAGAGGATCTACTGTGTAGCCTAAGGTGAACGGCGTGGTGATGTTTGAAGAACTGCTCATTCTGATGGCGAAGACACTGTGGTTTGATGAAGCTCTGACGGTGTTCTTATTTACTTTCTCTGGTACCCAGTGAAGGATTGAAGTTCGGGTTTCCCCTTGCGTAAAGTCGATTTTGTCTTCTGAATCCAGAACTATTGCCCATGGGTGGGCTTTCTGTAAAAGGGGATGGGTTTTAACATTTTTGAAGTTCGTATTCCTGCATTTTGAATAAGGTTGAGTTTGTTTTAACAGTCAGTAATTAGAAGTTACCCAGATTTTGAAAATTGAATTCGTTACATTGTCAATAATAAGACCTTTAAGGGTTACCTTTTTATCTTTTGAGGAATGGTATGAAATCCTAACAAAATCCGTTGAGAAGGTAGGAAAGCAGAACAGCAAAACATACTAAACTGTTCTGTCAGGGCTAAGAATTTCTAGGGACATGTAAACCAAACATCTGATCGGAATCCCTTGGAAATGGGTCTGGACGAACACAGAAAACCAGTGTTTAGGAAATTTTTATTATGTTTCACTGAATAAGTGAGGTTACCGGAACCCAAATCAAGGAGGATCACCGGAAGGGGTCGTGATTCTGGGAGCGCGGAAACTAAAAGCGGCATTGAACTTGCGTCCATGAGTGGCGCTAGTCACTTACCATTATCTGATGACCCTAAGGCATATAAAATAAGTATCTTTACAAACTACGCTAGTTGTTTCTCGCAGTTCTATAGCCGTTTATGAGTTGCTAATCTGCTCCTATATTATACAGAGTGTAAGGGACGTAAGTGTAACGTAACGTAACGTAACTTCGTAAGTGTATTTAGACCATCATTCTGAGTCGAAAATCATTGGTATTTCCTGCTGGAAAATTAAACGTTTTATGCAATCACCTGTCAAAGTGAAAGTCATTCATCGTAGGTATCGCACAAAAGTAATAATTAAATTTGTATTCCTTGCAGTCTACGCACACGAACCCATTACATTGCAGTTTTACTGTGTGCGGTATTTTTAAATAGTTTTCGGTAATTTGTTCTGTTTACTCATCATGCTACACATATCATTCGCAACCAGAAGAATGGAAAATTATAAAAAAATGATGACTAGTCCAGCAGAAAATTTTAATGATTTTAGACTCAAAATTATGGGTAAAGAACACAACTATTTACTTTATATATCTTCATTAACTGACCTGAATATTAATTGCATTCCCCGGTGTAACATTCTCGGTTCCATTATTCACCAGCCACTTCTCAATCCAGACGCTCATCACGGTTCTATTCAGCTTGTCATTTTCGTCTAGTTTCTTCTCATTCTGCTCTGATAAGAATGGTCCTCGTAGTGTCACGAGAAGTGATCTCACATCTTGATTTGTTTTGATAACATAACCTAGAAAGAAATAGATCTGAAGAACACGATATAAATTGATGGATAATTCATGGAAAAATCAATGTGAACCCAATGTTCTTTTTATATACACAGGAATATATCCTGTGTCGCGGGGGACTTTACACAAATTTATGAAACGTACACAAAGAACACCCAGACTCAGAACAACAATTTGTGGATCACACAAAGGGTTGTACCATGTGGGGTACCATTTCTTCCTGGGACTTCCCGAGTGTCATAACTCGGTGTGTTCGTGGGTCACTGCAGTGGATCCTGGTGTACAGGAGTTACAGTGGTGGGCGTGTGGGTGGGATTAGTCCCAATGTGGGGATCGGACCCACAACACGCAGCGCAGCATGAAGCGGCGGGGTGACCGCTTAAACCACTACGCCAACCATGCAGTCAGTGCAGTCAGTCAGTAACCCATGTGTGATAAAGTAAACAAAAAAACGAGAGTTATTTGTTCGACTATGTCTTGTCTACCCTCTTCTTTGATAAAAATGTGTACTTGTTTAATCCCTAATAATCTTATAAATATAAAATGACATGTCCTGACTGACTGATTCATCAAAGCAGAAACTAAACCGCTGGGGCTACAAACTTGAAATTTTGGCAGATGATGCTTTATACGTTGAGAAAGGATTTTTAGAAATTTTACTCCTAAGAGGGTAAAATGAGGGATGAACGGTTGTGTAATAATTACGCAAGCGAAGCGAACAGCTAATGTTAAAATAGAGACATTGCCGTGGTACTTACTTTTAACTTCTTCTGGTGCAACTGAGGAGTACCTGGTGATTTCCTCCTTTTCGTTATACATGAGGAACACAATTGTAAAGAAGAGCCATACCGCGACCAGTATCGTTAGCTTGATCATATGACGGACTTGCACCATCTGAAGCAGACAAAATGGATTATATTTGCATATGCTATGCAATTATTGCATGAACGCGCCCCATTACTTCGACATACAGAGATAAATATATTTAAAATGTCCTAAGTAAAATGAAACAACAATAGTGTTTTGGTCCCTGTTTCTGTCGGTTTTTTTTGCTAGCCACCAATTCCAGCTTTAAAAATAAAGTTTTATTTTTTCATCAGGAATCTCTGTTGAGTATTATTGGTTTTTGTTTTAATTTATTATTGTTTACTAAGAACTTTTTTTTTGTAATACGAACGAGCAGTTCCATATTATATTTCACACACATCACACACACGGCCATCTGATAAAAAAATATGGCGTCTGTACTATGGTAACCTAGCTGCTGATAAACATACTTATAAATTTCTAATTTAGACATATTATAGATAAATTTCACTTAGACACAGAACAAATGATCATGTTTATCACACAATTACTGGGAATCGAACCCACGAACCCACTAGATCAACAGGCCCATCTTTCAGGCCGTCCAAAAGTAATTACAATCACACAAATAAGAATTATGTTTTTTGTGTGCCTCTGTTTCAGTCGATAAAAATATGTGTGTACTTGTTTTTATGGGCGGCATCGTTCGCTTTAATATCGATTTTATCAATGAATTTTTAACCAATATCAAAAAGGACGAGGTTATCAATTCGGATGTTTTTTTTTATACAATGTTCGGGCAGAACTCCTTCATATATAGACTTTCGTAAATTCTTTTATGTTAAAAAGGAGTTCATGCCGAAATGGTCCCATTTTAATTTCATATACATCTCTGATGATGAGTTTTGAAGACAGTCAACGGAACTCTTCAAAAAATGACAGCAAATCAACCGCGATTGCTGCTTGGTTTTGATTGATCTTTGTTTGAAGTTTGAGTATTGTTTGAAGTCGGTTCATGATTTTTTTTAAAGGATTTAATTTTTTTTATAGGTGAAAAGTAGCCTTTCAACGAGATTCGTTCAGCTGTTCTAGCGTTATTGAGTAACAAACATCCTTTTTTATGTAATAATAAACAAAAAGATAAATAATAATCGTTCTCATAAACTTTCACATTTACAATATTAATGGGATTTTCTTCCGACCGCTCATCTCCAATGACGTGGTAGTGTGTGGTAGTGACGCTATGTGGTATTTACTTAATCCCTGCTAAAATTATAAATGCGAAAGTAACTGTCTGCCTGTTACGCTTTCACGGCTAAACCGATTTTAATGAAATTTGTCATGGAGACACTATGATAAGAAAGATCCGTCCTTGGACATACGCTTCTTCTAGACATACACGTGAGCGGAGCTATAGTCAAAAGATCAAAAGTTCATGGTCAAAGTTCTTAATGAGAAGAAACAAGTAATTACCTTTGACTTTTCCTTCGGTTTTGTGTCATCTTCAAGTCTGTAACAAATAAAAATATAAAATTTATCCATTATATGAGTGCTGTAAAACCTCTGAAAGATTCTAATGATTAGCTCTGCGTATCAAGGCTGTGTATTTATGAACATACCAGCTGGCCGGTGAAATTCTAAAACGCAGATAAACATACATTTTTCTGAACACGGTATGCAAAAGATCCGATTCGCGATCTGCGCAAGTGGCGTGCAATAGGAGAGGCCTATGTCCAGCAGTGGACTATTATAGGCTGTTGATGTTGATTGATGATCGCAAACAGTTAAGAAATTACCCCCAAAGTTTTATAGGAAAAATACCATGAAATACACTAAAGCCCGTTCGTATTAAGAAAATACTGACACATTGATTAACCCTGAGCTTGTTTTCAAGAATTTATCATCTCGTACGAAAGTTTTGAAACTTGATTAGTCAGGGTGCGGGGCTTGATCAATGCGTCACTATTTTCTTAACTCGAATGGACTGTGGTTTTAAATACAGCTAATGTTTTCTCACATTTTTTTCTCGTTCTCCCCGTTGGCTGTACATTTCTTTTCTTTGAAGACGACATCTTCTTTCAGTACGTGGAAATTATTGTTCAGATGTGGTGCTGAAGCCACACACGGTAGACGTCTGGTCGATAATGTTGTTCCATTACTTTGGGGCTTTAACCCTGTGCAATCTACTCCACCTGTAAAAAGAATAGAAGAGTTAATAAGAAGGTAGATTAGAAGGAGAGGAAGATTTGCCAACATGGGCCTAATTGAACACGGTAAAGAGTACATATGTTATAGAATTATATCTTTGAGGGTCAATAAACGCAGGTATCCAGACTTTATCAGATTCTAGACTCTAACTAGATAGGATCTACCAAATTGAATATGAAAGCATGGAACTTCTGTGTGCATCTGATACTCCGGTAAAGGATGTATGCAGACAATTATCATCATTATGGACAATTAGCCTTCACGAATCTTGAGTTCAAATATAATTTAATTTTTAAACTTTAACTGCACAGATAACGAGTAAATATTTTGTTAATCTTTCCAGATTAGCTAAAATACTAAGTTTGGAATGAATTCTTGGCCGGAAGCGATGAAATTTTAACACTCGTATACTACTTCGAGCATGTCATCCCGCTGAAGGAAAGGCTAGAGTGCCCGAGCGGCGAAGATGCGCTTTCTACTAGGTCGTGACATCACGAGTGTGGCTGACCATCGACCTCGTATGTCTGGCGGTCTAGTGCGAATCGATCGTTGACTGTGACCGCTTTAGGCGTTGCGAATGGAGAAGAGTTCATTGCGGGCCAATCGCAATGCCGGACGCGGACACCGTCGAAAGCGAGTTAATGTAAAATAAACTCGAACTAGGTAAACGCTCCATTTGTTATTGTTATTTTATAGTGCGACACGCCATCTAGTCATTGAAATAATTTAAGCATATCATCTGTATGTTGATAATCTGGTTGTTTTAAAACGTACCTCGCGTCAGCCATAAAAAAGACTTTAAGGATATGATACTGAAATCGTTTGCATGACTGCCACTTTCATTGTTTGGACTTATCTGTGTTTAGTTTCTAAGTACTATATTTCTGTTAGTCTCGTTCACTTTGGTCTTAATTTTGTTACTACTTGAATGTGTGTCAACCTAACGATGTATACTGTGCATGCCTGTAATTGGTCTACATATAAGAACTATCCTTATATTGAACTTCATTTTGAACAATGTTGTATATGTATACTGTTGGCGTGTCTATAATAAATAAATAAATAGATATTGTACCTACTGTGATGTGATTTCGCTAATAATAAGTGAAAACTAGTTAACTCCTACCTACATAATGACGTAACGACGTTGTAGTTTAAAAAAAAACCACATTATTATACTTCAAATGACTGTCATTATGCTACAGTTATTCACAATGACTAAATTGACCAATTTTGTAAAGAATACCAGTATTTTAGATATTAGGATGTTTACGGCAATCTAAGTCACATAAGTGATATTAGAGCTTGGGTAATACGAGTATTTTAAAGTACGTTATTTTTTTCAAGTATTTTTTTTGGGTTTTATCGTTAAAAATATATTTCGACATTATGGGTAAGTAATATCACATGTTTGATCATTATTGATGATACGTCATTAGCTAACATTGTTGATGGCATGTTGCTGTAGCGGTTAGTGGTACTGAGCGCAAGGTCGTGGGTACGATTACTACCCAGGACAAATAAAACACAAACATGTGATGAGCGTGATCATTTGCTATGTATCTGGATGTAATTGATCTATCATATGTATGTATTTATAAATATAAAGTATGTTTATCAGCAGACTGACACCAGCATAGTAGATAGGTTCACTAACCACTAGACCAAGAGCCCAGACAATTAGTAACACAAACCGTTAAATATATATATCCGTTACATGTATGTAACTATAATGTTTAAATGCATATAATCGTCATGAACATTTTATATTTCACAGCCGAAACAATTAAATATGTCGGTGTGTTATTTCAGATGATAACGTTCTAGCAGTATACTCACTGCAACGATATCATCAAAATACACAGTTCAAGTTTGTTTTCGTAACAAACATTTGCCAGTATTAGCTGGTTTTTAGTAGTAAAAACTGGCTACAGCGATAAAAATCTAAAAAAGAGTTAGTTTTTTTATCACTAGGCGACCCATGCTGTGGAATATATGAGCCGATTCAAGCGGTGTGATACCACGGCCTCACACAAAAGCTTTCTTTACATTTCACCGAGTGAGTGAGAACCGGAGAAACTAATTCTGGCGGGAGAACTCCAAGGCTGGCAACGAACTACTGACTCTTGAGTTGCAGATGTCCATGACCGGATGGAGTCACTTACCATCAGGTGACCCGTCTGTTTGTTTGCCTCACATATCATAAATAAACAATGGCACTGAGGAAGTGCCGACAGAAGGGAAAACGTGTTTTTTTTTGTTCGATTCGTAAATTTCCGACATGATAATATGTCTACGAGTATGTTGTACGTATATACACAATACAATATTTAGTAATATTATCAATGTATTTTAACCCAAATTCAACTCTCGTGTAAACGGGGCCACTATATGTAGATACTTATGCACCGAGGTGTTGATAACGGGAACAGTGTACCAAGTTCAATGGGTTTTTCCCATCTCAAAAAAATGAGTTTTTTTGTTAACCCATAAAATATATTTTTTTGTTTGTTGTTCAAAATGCCCAACGCGCGTAAGGGAGCTTTCACTTCGAAAAAACTATAACATACCCGCGACTGCATTAATGTAGTTTCTGTCAATATATTCAAGTATTCTTTCAGATCTATGCTTTAAGTCTGAGGCCCTAGTGCGAGTTTATTTGACATTTATTCGATCGTCACGGTTCAGCGTTGCGATTGGCCCGCGCTGAACTCTACACCAATCACAGCGCTAAACGCGCTCACCATGACGATCGAGTCGATGTGAAATAAACTAACACTAAGGCCTCTGAATAAAACGTACCCATATCATCCTTATACCTCCGACTACGTGAATATAAAATTACATAATGATTGGTTAAGTAGTTAAGGTTTAAAATTGTAAAAAACAAACCAAAACCAAACTTAGGTACCTCGTAAAAATATGGAGGAGTAGTTAGTAGGTACCTAAAACATTGTCGCTGACACTTTATACAGTCGGTAATTCAAACCGTGTGGTAACGGATTGAGAATACGGAATGTCACCACCCCTATTCATGCCGTGGGTGTCGTAAGAGGCGACTAAGGGAGCAAACTACGCAGGACAACAGCACTGCAAAGAGAAGGAAAACTTGAAACAAACCCAATACCAACTCGTCTGGCCAGCGTATTATAGTAGGCCAAAACCTCCTTTCTAAGGAGAGGCCTATGTCCTGCAGTGGACTGTTATAGGCTGTTGATGATGAATCCAAACATGCGTCATAGAGGTAATATCGGGATTAATCCAAAGGGTATAGGACTGAGATTAGCATATCAAGAAGTGCTAGCGAACCCATGTACGAGTCGAGTGAGTAAAAAATAAAACATCAGAACAATAAGTACTATTTTTTAAAAGTTTTTTTTTTTAATTCTATTCCTTCCATATAACCTTAAACGCTATTTCGAGAATGCCCTGAGCCGCACCTATAGGGTCTCATATTTTAAACCAACTTTAAAAAAAGAAGGAGTTTCTTAATTCACCTATATGTTTTTGTTTGTTATCTCACAACTCCGTCATTTTTGAACCGATTTGGAATTTTTATTTAAATATGAAATTATTCCGTTTGGTCCCCCTCATATCTGAAGCAATAATACCGCCCCTAAGATAATAAGATGTATATACGATTATTTCAAATTCAAATTCAAATTCAAATTCAAATTATATATTTGCTATAAATGGGGTGGTACATGTTGTGGTATTAAAGGTTCAATATATTGCGAACAGGCCCATTTAGCCATAAAGATAGCATGCAAATTTAACATTATTATTATTATTATTAATTTAACATTATTATATATTATTATTATTATTATCATCATTATTCATCAGTGTTTGTGTATTGATTATAATTTCACTTTTATTAATTATACCTACTACTCTCCACCATTCAGAAAGTCTTTGACCGAATAAAATGTATTTGTAATTAACCAATCTTTCAGGGCTGGAATGAACTTATTTAATGGTAGTTCTTTAAATCGTTCTGGGATTTTATTGAAGATTTTAATGCACATCGCGTAACAATTTTTTTGAATTCTTTTCGACCTAGGTACCATGTCCAACACAAGTCTATTTGGATTTCTAATGTTGCTCCTTTTGGTGACATCCTTCGCTTGCTTAAATGTTCGAGGGTGCTGTCTTATGAATTTGCATACCTCGAGGATGTACAAGCACGGTAACGTGAGGATTTTTAGTTTTTTAAAATATGGCCTACAAGATACGTCCGGAGCGATATCACATATGGACCTAATGCACCGTTTTTGTGCTATAAAGGCCTTATCTATGTCTGTACCGTTACCCCATACCAACAACCCATACCTTAACACAGATTCGACATACGCAAGGTACGCTGTACATGCTGTAATTTGGCAAGATACTTTTGCCAGTTTGTACAGAGCGAAAGAGAATCCATTTATCCTGTTTGCGATTTTGTCTATATGTTCCTTCCAGTTAAGTTTATCATTGATAACTATGCCAAGAAATGTCGTATTGTTAGCCATCGAGATGCTTAGTCCATTGTAATTTACATGTATGTCATCGTCATTTAAATTATTAAAATTAATTATATGCGTTTTTAATAAATTAATTTGTAAATTATTATAATTCAGCCAATTTATAATTGATGTCAAGGTATTATTGATGTCATTTTCGTGTTGTGCAATTGTCAGATTTTTATTTGTAGTTACTATTACTGACACATCATCAGCAAATAGTATAGTGTTATGGTGAGTAACTTCTGGCAAGTCGTTAATGTAGACCAGGAAGAGTAACGGGCCCAACACACTGCCCTGGGGAACTCCAAATTTATTTAAATCATAGTTGGATCTCCTTACTTCAATACAGTCTTTGGCGGTTAATTGTGTCACATCAACACATTGATATCTATCATCTAGGTATGTCTTTAGCCAATTCAAAGCAGGTCCCCTAACACCATAATGCTCAAGTTTCATCAGAAGCTGCACATGTGAAA